GTCTAATTGTCTTGCATGCTTGTTTTTGCCAGTGAAATGTGGGCAGAGGCTGTTGACCTGCAGACACTGGACTGAGTGGGTCCATTGTGTGAACCGTAGCGTGCAGGACGAATGATAAGGGCTGTTGTGCAGGTGTGGGCACTCACGTGACTCGCTTAATCACTGAAGTATCTCTTTCCTCACTGTTGCTAGGGGACTCATTTCTGGATTCGCTCTAATCAGCCATGTTTTTGTTCACTGTGGAGGGAACGTAGTCGGTGGGATGGCTGCTTTGATTAAAGGTGATAGAAGAGACTAAGCTTTTCAACAACTATTATCTCTCTTATGAATACATGAATATGAGATTGATTGCGGTGAATATTTATTTACATTTGTTAAGGCTGTTTAATCAGGGAAGATTCTGATTCAAGATTTAATAGTTATTGCAAATACTGGGGATCTTGTGCTGCTGATCTGCAAAAGCATACAGTAATTTGGCAAATGGATTTTTAAGAGGGATGCACATTTATATTTTGAAGCAGATAACAGATATATTGGACAAAAATATAACTTTCACAGTGTTACAGGTGCATAATGCGCTTGCACATTTGAACTATATTTTGTATATACATTATACATACAAGGCAAAGCCTGTCTAGAAACCCATTCCTCATTAAAGTTCAAGTGCTTTGTCTGTTTCCTTCCTGTCTTTTGTAGTATATTACGTTTTTCCGTCTGGCATTTTCACACAGCGACACACAATAGCCGAGATGTCTTTGAGGGAGTCCACACACTGCTGGAGTTTTGTTTAGAATCTTTAGAATCGCCATTCTGTCTCATTATGGTCTTATTCATTTCTATTGTATCAGCACATATGCAGCATTAAAATCCCAACTGGACTATATTTGTACATCGGTGCAGGTCAGAGTTGTTTTCTGCATGCAGTTTTCCATATGTTCCATATTTGAGTATATGGTGGTGAGGGAAAAACAATACTGCATTGCATTATAGGGGTATATTAGTTTAGCTGTTGTTGATCTTTTTAGGCTAGTGTTTAATGGGCATTACTTCTGGCCCTCCAGCGGCTTTACATGGAGAGGTTTGTATTCTTAAGTTAATGTCTTGTCTGGGCCATGGAAAGGAGAAGTGCTATAGTTTATGTGTGTGTATATGAGTTTGTGTGTTTCAGGACTGGTAGTGCTGGAAACCATTATACACAATAGGATCAGTCAGGCATAACGTTTTTAGCATTTTAGGGGGCTGTTTCCCAATCTCATTATGAGTGTGCCCTTTAGCTGAGCCAGGGTGAGCCAACGGAATACACAACATTAAAGGAGTAGTTCACTTTAAAAAAAAAAAAAAACTTTTGCTGATAATTTACTCACCTCCATGTCATCCAAGATATCCATGTCTTTCTTTCTTCAGTCGAAAAGAAATTAAGGTTTTTGATGAAAACATTACAGAATTTTTCTCCATATAATCGACTTCATTGGGTACCAAACGGTTCAAGGTCGAAATGAGGCCACGTTTACACAAAGCCGGGTATTCAGCAAATCGAATATTTCCCCCTCTCCGTTTTCAAAAATAACATCGTTCACACACCCGCATAAATACGCCTTTGAGCGCCATCATAACTATGCCAAACCTATTGGCGGCAGTGTAGGGGTTAAGGATAAAGCCATGCAAGCCTATCAGAATCCTCAGAATCGACCAGAGAGAACAACGCCGTTTCTCCCAGTTCACAAGACAACACATAACCGGCGTTTTCAGAAATCTCCACTTTGGCCAGAGTTTTTAGAAATAATCGTTTTCTGTTATAAAAACGGGGTTTTCGTGTAAACGAGAGGCCAATCCGCAGGGAAAAATCTGCGTTTTTCCTTCATGTAAACGGGGCCTGAGAGTTTCAGTGCAACTTTAAACGACACCAGACGATGAATAAGTGTCTTATCTAGCGAAACCATCGGTCATTTCAAAAATAAATAAAAAAGTTTAAGTTTTATAAGCACAAATGCTCGCCTTGCCTTTAACATAAACTGTTACAGCATGCTTCAGATTTGTGTACTCAATTCTTATCCATAAAGTGCATAAAAACCGGGACAGACATTTGCTGTGCTACTGAGTGGTCGTCATGCTCTATATAATGGTGGTTAAGTTGGATCAGTGTCAATGCATCATGGCCATCTGTGTGTCATCTTAGTGTGCAATGGTGAACAGAGGGCTCTAATTTACAGCATCACTGATTGGCATACCAGGATTGGTTAATATATGAGGTCAAAATCTCCTTTGCACAAGAAACCAAACTTGAAGATCTGAAATCGTATACTTCCCCACTATATAGTACACTGTAAAAAAATAATAATAAAGAAAAGAAAAAAGACTGTTGGTGTAACTTGCATGGTTGCCTTAATTTTGAGTTCATTGAATTTGAAAAATTGAGTTAATACACTGAAAGAGATTGTTTTAATTATAAGACGCATAAATACGTTATCTAAACCACATTCATTATCCAAGTTGATTTGACAAAAGATAAAACGTTGTGATAACAAATCATTAAAGAAAAATGTTTTACAGTATGAGTGAAAAACAGTGTGTGACAAAATATGTATGTCCAAATTCACAGTACTAGTAAGAGTATAGGTAAAAAAGTACCTTGAAGACCTAATTCTTTCAACAAGATTCAGACGTGTGCATATGATGGACATACTACCCATGAGGCCACAGGAGAGGATTTATGAATGGAGGTGAAGCCAAGCAACTGACACTGGAAATGGACACCATCGCGAATAGTGCATCCGGATTACATTCATAGTACATTTTTAGGATTCGTGAAGTAATTACTTATTCAGAAAAAGTAGCTACTCAAGAGAATATGCGATTTTGGACACAGATGTCTTCTCTGCCCCAAAGATTCATGACAATGTCATAGACATAAAGTGCTATTGTGAACTGAATCTATATGTAGTTCCAACCTCACGTGTGAAAATGCTGAGTGGCCATTCAAAAAAGGATGGCGAGAGAGAGAAAGAAATAACACTTGCTTCAACTAATGAAATACTGCAGCAGTGAGTCCCTAAAAAGGAGCTGGGTGGGTAACCACCACCTTAATCTCTGCTGAATGTGCTAGGATCCTTTTAAAACTTGTCCTGGGCCCCCCAGCTCAAAAGAAAAAAAGGACAGAGCAAAAGGAGGAGTGTCAGGCGCTGCAGCGGTGCAGAGAAACAGAATAGTCAGTGATCCATAGTGTATGGCATGGATCCAAGTCGGTTATACCTCCACAGCAAGGCAAGGTGAGAGAGCCTTAAACCTATGCAATGCGACAGAGACATGCACTATAGCTAGAGACACAAGGAGGGGAGGGGAGACTCACAATTGATAGCCGGACGAAGAGAGAGAGAGAGAATGACTCAAACAGCAACTGAATATCCTCTAGGGTGGGCAAATTGTGTGAGAGGGAGTGATAGAGAAAGGGAGAGATAGAAGAGGAGGGGGAGTGTTGCATGCTGTGCCAGTCAGCGTAAAATGAGTTAAAAGAGAGTGTCGTATGGGTAGTGGCGTTTTTCCCTCCTTTCTCTTCCTCTTCACACTCACTCATTCTAATGGTGGACTAATACATCCTTATGCACGTATCTCTCAGGGGATCGATCGCCCGTCACAATGGTGTTCATCGGGACTACTCTTAAATCTGTCATTAAGTACTTCAAAAAGAAGGGTAAGCTCCTCAAATCATGTTTTGGGTTTTCTTATCACTCGTGCAGCTCAAGGTCAAGTGGGCTGAAGTAGTTTTGGGTGTGGGGTTATTCATCACTGCTGTGTAGCTTGCTTGCTACATTTGCTTGCGAGTTTCTTTTTATAGTGGGGCATCAGTCTATTTAGTGACCTTGTTCTGCAACTTTGAATGATTATTATTGGTGATGTAAAGCTCTGATGCCCTGTTTTGTTCATTTTTTTTATATTCTACCTTTAGTGTTCACCAAATGATGCAAATTATTTTAATTCAAATGGAGATATATTTCAATTAAATTCTATAGGATTGTAATGCCCATTTTATGACTTTGAGTTGCTGTACAGCCGAAATAGATTTTCCTGTTTCGTAAAACTGCTTTGAAACAATCTGTATTGTATAAAGCACTATATACATTAAGGTGACTTGACTTAAATTATTATGAGTTATATATAGGTTTAGATTACACCAATACTGTACTTACTGTATTTACACAGTTGAATTAGCCTTGGGGTGTTTTCCAACAGATCCATTGACTTTTTGGTGGACTAGTGAAATCTATCACCATGTGTTTTGAGCTCATGACCTAGTACTCTCGGCTGACCTCTTGCTGAGGAAACTGATTGTGAATAATCGATAATCACTGGCATACTTTTTTTTTTTTTTTGAATGGAAAGAAATGCATTGATAAGGATGACCTGGTTAATCTTACCCAGAAGAACTTGGGATAATTGATCGTATAATCTGGGTTGTCAAGGCACCAGCCAGAGACATGTATGTCTCCAGTGTCTTTAGACGCAGTGGTGCAGAAGTGTTTGATTGGCCCGGCCCCTCGTGCAGTTTTTCATGTGTTCTCTCTGGGAGCCTAAGAGTCCTCACATAACTTCAGCTCCCAAATCTATCTCATGTGCCCAATGGCTGTTTCTCTTTCTGTCTGAATTGTATTTCCCTCAGCTGACATCTGAATTGATTTTAACTAATTTGGCTAATTTTCTAAATTGTATCTGGCTTCTGATAAGTCAATACTTGTTTTATTGGTATGACCAATAGTAAAATTCTGTACTATATTGTTGTGTAAAATATATAAATAAAAGTAAAATACACAAAACTTAGAGCAACAAAAATGCATAGTCTGCTTTAATCTATAGTCTGCCATCAGTTATTTTGGAGAAAAACACTGCAAATCTTTTCATATTTCCAGTCTTAAAATCCTAAATAGGATTTTTTTTCACACAAACAACTGATCTTCTTCCTTCAAACATTTCAAATTTGAATGTGTCCTTGTTTCTTTTCCCTCTAGCGGTGTCCAGTCTCGATGAGGAGAGTAAGTGGTCGGTGCACTACACAGCCCCCTGGCACCAACAGGAGAATGTCTTCCTGCCAGGGTCCAGACCAGCCTGTGTTGAAGACCTTCACCGCCAGGCCAAAGTCAACCTGAAAACAGTCCTCAGAGGTCAGGAACAAAAACCACAGTACTTTCCTTTTTTTTTAATGTAAAACACATTTATATATTCTGAACATTACAACCAAGTGGCAACATTCTAATCTGAAAAATGAAGCCCACACGGAAGTGCGAAAAACTGCAATACATAGAAAATCCACTAGGGGCAGGTCCCAAAATGTCCATAGACCCAGTTTTCACAGCATAAATTCGTGTTTTTACAGATTGGTCCCATGGACTTTTATTGTATTTTTCGATAGGTTCTGAGTGCCTGACAACTGTGAGGGGGTTGAATTTTTTTCTAACTCGTTAGTTTAGATCGTATTTAGGAATAAAATGTATGACAAATAAGGGTGTGGATAACTTTGATTGACAGCTTGATTGACAGCTGATAATGGGCTGAGTGGAATTCCTGAAATTTGACGTCTCGGCCATGATCTGACACAACACATCTTACCACCTCTGTATCCTTTCTGAAAAGATTTTCCAAGATGGCACCGCCCATACCCCCAATAAACGGCCTCAAAACAGTTCTTCATAAAGTCCATGGGTGACATCACAGACATTTTGTCTATATTTTTTACAGTCTATGATTACAACACATGATTAGTTATTTAAATAGAAATAATTGCTCATAATTGCTCCATATAATCAGCAAATGCAAAATGCCCTCCAGCAGAAAATTGCTAATGAAGATAACATTACCACTGTGCAGAAAGTTACAATCATTTTTATAAATGATTATATATAAAATTAAACTTATTCATTTTAAAGTTGCCATAGTCTTTTCTCCCCTATTGTGGTATCAAGTGAAGAAACGGCTTCTGGAATGAGAAAAATGTAGGGAAGGATTTGATTTCTTCCTTCGGGAATTGATCGGATCGTAGGATGGATTAGTGAATGGTGTTTCATGTTGTTTCTGAAACTTCCTGGTTTTATATCTTTGTCTTGTTTTTGGTTTATGTTACTTTGGATCAATTAACTCCCCACAGGGATTTTCCTGAACCAGGTCCTGTAGAGCCTAATGGCATATCTCATTATCATTTGACCTTCTGCTGCACTTGGTATATTATCCTATATACCAGAGAACAACATCACTTCCTTTTGTATCTGGAAACCAGATACATTTTACATTCATGACTCTTCTTAATTTCCTTCATTTGACCTTGTTGTTGCCTAAATAACTAGTCCTCTGAGGTGTTCAGGAATGCTAATGTACCGGAGTGTGTTTGTGAGCTGTCTTGGCCTCAGCAGGGGCACCAGGTGGCACACCAAATGTCTGTTTTCCCTCTTTTCCCAGTGAGTTTTGGTAGGGTCATGGCTGTTGTCCTTCTATTTGTTATAGTTGTGAATTTTATATATATATATATATATATATATATATATATATATATAGTATCTAATTTACATTCATTGACCACCCACATCACAGCTTTTGGATGATTTTCCTCTCACCCTCTGAATCACAATGTGGCAATTAAGAGTCAACTCAGCCACTGCAGCTAAACAATAAACTATTTGTACCTACCAACATTATAGGTTTTGGAAACTAATTAGTTAATGGTTACCATGCGAAAATCAGTTGCTTTTATCCACTGATACTTTCACCTGTATAACCTTTTTCATTCAAATGAAGATCAGCACAAAATTAGATGTTTTCTCATTTTTATGGTGCTGCAACAGAAGAAAGTTAGTCATACGAGTAAAATTGGAACTACAGAATTGTCCCTTTTTTGCTAATCTACTAATTTAACGACTTTTTAGATGACAGACGAAGCTGCGTATAGAAACATACTAAGAGTTTAAAGTATTTGCTATGGGCAATTAACAGCATTTTTTGTGCATGTTGCCCGCAGTAAGATGAGAAATGAGAGGTAAAATGAAAGAATTGAGGTGAGAGCACAAGTCAAGTCCTATTAGTTATAGGATCAAGACAACATCCCTCACACGTGCTCTGTCTCTCACTCTTTGAGCTACTAACATATTAACCTGCACTAGCCTCACTATTCATAGCTCAACATGCACAGATAATTATAGTTGTTGACTCCAATGGAGTTTAACTGATTGAAGTAAGATTATAAGCCTCCTAAAACAAACCAACACACGTGTATACTATAAAAGTGTGCCTCTGACAGTATGCAGCACGAGAAACACAAAGCTTATTCCTGCATTTGGTGATGATTCTGTGCTATAAAAATTCATGTAATTTAATTGAGTAATGTAAATGCCTCGGTCCAGTATACGGTATGTGTAAGACATATATAAATATATTTTTAGAATGTAGGCCTTGCTGTTCCTAATTGCATTATATGTTGTTTGCAAGCTTGCTGACATTACAACTTTGTGTTACTGAACTGTATAATCACCTGGTCAGTGGCACATACTGCCACATCTACGTTTTTATGTTTAACATAGACATTTACATTGAATTCATATTTATTTACTGTATTTAGTACTGCCTGTTTTTCCTCTCTAGTCCCTCTTCAGTGAAAAGCTTTCCTGTGCTTACATATTATAGATTATAATACACTTAGATATTTGTGCATTTTGAGCATACTGCAAACTACACTGGATGAGGTCTGGAGGTGTCGTTTCTTTCATGATTTAATGCAGGAAGGATTAGGTGATTACAATGTGCTCTGCAAAAAAAAAAAAAAAAGACAAGATAGAGAGAGAATGGTTCATAGTGTTTCTCAGCAGGCACTCATTATGAAGGTGCCAGAGGAGGTGATCAGCTGAAATAAATGGATATGTCAGTGGCATTAGGTGGAGGTGAAGACCCCCTGCTCTCAGGCCATTCATAACCTGACAGTCAGATCTGACATATTCAGGTTCTATCTATCTATCTATCTATCTATCTATCTATCTATCTATCATCTATCTATCTATCTATCTATCTATCTATCTATCTATCTATCTATCTATCTATCTATCTATCTATCTATCTATCTATCTATCTATCTATCTATCTATCTATCTATCTATCTATCTATCTATCTATCTATCTATCTATCTATCTATCTATCTATCTATCTATCTATCTATCTATCTATCTATCTATCCAATTATCATTCTGTAATTGCCCTCTTTCTGCACCGAGGGCAAAAGGACACTATGGCTCTGCAGTGGTCCAGTAATATGCTGAGTGTGATAGAAGACTCATCAGCCTTTGTGAAACTAAACATGTCTTCATTGCAGTGTGCTTATCAAGATGCATTCTATGCTGGCTAAAAGTACTTTACAGTTTTTTTATTCGCTTTGGTACTATTTTCACAAGTAAGGTGTACATTTTCAAAACTCTTAGTGCTAATATCCCAACAGATCATCAAAAGTGCACTTTTTTCAAACATTTCATCATGTTTTCAACTGTGTTAGTACAATTCACACAATCACAAAGTATCCTTTTCACAACACAAAATAAGTGTTTCATCTACATTATTGTTTCATTCACAGTAACTGCCTTTCATAAAGCTCTTACTATCAAACTTTTGATTTGCATCTCTTTTTGTTCAGTTTAATACTTTTGTCTATTATTTAATCCAACAGATCTTAATGGTTAATCAATTAATCATTTGGTAAACCTATAGATTTTCATTTCAGCAATATACAGTATATGGATTTTGAGAACTACAGAAATAAAATGTGTGTTTGTATGAATATTTAAATTACATGTAACCAGTAACCACACATGATGAATACTCGTTATCATGAAAACTCGTTTCACAATTTTTTTCACAGTCTGACCACAATTGGCCACTATGTACTGTAATGTGTGCACTAAATGTTATGTTTTGTTCTTCTTTAGTTACATTTCATTATAGAAAGTATACCTATATTACAATTATATCTGAAAAATAAAAAGTATAATTTGCCTAAATGATTGTAAAGGATGTCTTCATTGATCCTTCATTTGATTAGGCCTACATATATGATGGATATTTGGAAATTATAGATTATGTAAATGTTGGGTACTGTAAGTGTATTGCCTAATGTAACAGTAAAACTGTGTAATCTGTCTTTTATAGTACTGTAGCATATTCATTTCAGCACTTCTAAGGCCGATTTGAAACATGTATCTTGCATTGTTTGCTGTTGGATGAACTGATTGTTAAAAGTACTAAACTGAAAGAAGATCATATTGTTGTGTTTCAGTGATTAAACCAAATACAATTACAATAATCTTGTGTTTGAAATAATTATTATGTGGACTGAAAACATGTGCAACTGACTGAAAGCATTACATCAGGTTTTGAAAGAATGACTAGCTGCGTTACAAGTGTGATCAGTTTGGATTTTTGTACTAAGAGTTTTGAAAATGTACACCTTGTGAAAATAGTACCAAAGCGAATAAAAAAAACTGTAATAAAAAAAAGTGTTTTATTTACTGTAAATTCTGTTAATGTGTCACCAGCTGTTTCTTCCTTCCAACTGGAGAACATAAGTACTGCAGTTATTTTTCCTGAAAAAATACTTTTTTACATTTCCTTTTTATTGCTTAATTTAGTTCCTGTCCCTACTAGGTGATTTTGTTTAAAGGAAATAAAGTTTTGATTTTATAGCCGCTTTGATTAATAAAATATTTGTTTAAGCAACCTGTGCACAAGCATGTAGTATGAATTGATGCTCGCTAAAGGCCTGTGATCTGCGTTAAATGAGCTTTGCATACTCATTACCACAACAAATTGTTCATGATTGGATATGCTTGCCTCTCCAGAGTGCGACAAGCTCAGGAAAGATGGCTTCCGCAGCTCCCAGTGCTACTCCCAAAGCCCTGCCTTCTCTGCAACCAGCCTTTGTGAAAGTGTGCACCTGGATGAGGAGAAGACAGAGAAGAAAAAGAAGGTAAAGCCTGACCTAACACAGATTTGGAAAAGTGTCCCAACCTTTGCGTTCACATGTATTCAATTACTAGAGAAAAACAGCAATTTTTGCAATATGTTATATGCAGCATGGAATGCAGTTTATAATCAATCTCACCAGATTATCACCAAAATCCGGTTGGGTTGTAATTATATAGATCAAGCTGATGTTCAGGCTTTGTTTTCAAATCTGAGTTGACATGAATAAAAACAAGAGCTCAAGTTAATTTCGAAGAATTTTTTGTTGTTAATTGTTATATTGTATAATGAGAGCTAAGTATGCTCTCATCATGTCCATGATGAAACAGACAAAGGGCTGGTTTTCTCCTAAATACTTAGGAACATGATTTGGGTGTCTTGTTTTGCTCTGCCCCCTAGTGGCTGTGGGCATGCTAGCAGTGTAGTCCAGTATCCACTACAATCAATGATCAAACTAGGAAGTATTTGTTCCACATTCTGTAATACTAAAGAAAAGTATTGTCTCCATTCACTTTTGTTCCTTTATTTTCCACATTTTCTTTTCTCTCATCAAGCGGTTTAAAGTCCTAGACTGCCTATCACAGTCTTGCCTCTCTCTCTGCTGTCATTTGAGATCTTGGAAAAGAAAGGTACCTCTCTCACTGCAGTTGCTAGTCAGTGGTAGCACTGTGCTGTGTGAAGGTTGGCTTCAGATCCTAACAAGTCCTCATAGCGTCTCCATATACTGTACAACCTACTAGTGCTTGTCACCTGCCGTGAGCGTTTTCCCCCCTCAGCAACTTAGAGAGATTGAGTATGGTAATTACACAAATTAGACAATTAATACATAATTAGATTGTGCATTTCCCTCGAGCAATCTTGCAAATTTATAAGAACGGTTTAGGCAAAGCAGAACAAAAGAATGTCTAATATGTGTTTTTGGCACACACAAAAAAAGTATCTTGACACATTATGGTTGAATACCCTGACTGTAACACTGATCTCAAATTAGCATGAATAATTTAGAGAGCAGCTCTCCTCCATTCAGGGCTCCCTTGGGCTTATTGCTCAGAGAAATATTTCAGCCACCCAATGTGAGGGAAATGCACTCCAAGAGTCTTTTTTACTCTGCCCTTTTTGGAAAGCACTTCATTGAATTAACAGTAGAAATGACCAAGTATCAGACAATACCTGTCACTGGGCATTGGCTAGGCTATCATTCACAGAATCCTGATCTCACTAAGTCAGTCTGTTTGTGTTGTGTTCAGGCTTCAGATTCACCTAATGAAGAGGAGAAACTCGTGTACTCAATGCCGCCTCAGACCCCTTTGCTGGATTACTGCTCTGACATGGACATCCAGAGAAGCTGGACCAACTGTCTTCCTTTGCCTACTCCTGAGGAGAAAATGAGACTAGAGTCTCAGTCGGTGGCCACTGATGTCATTCCCATCAACATTACAGGTACCTCCATTGTTAAATCATGAAATAACAGTTGATTTTAACAACTCTGTTGGTAATCACATAATATAGCCTACTGTATATATGAAATACTTATTTTACGAGAAGAATTTATGACTTAGGATTAGGAGAGCGGGTTCCTCTAATTAGGCTATTTCAGATCTTCTCAACTGCAATTTGGGATACACCAATGTTAAAACTCTGGCCAATATCACTAATCTATACTACTGTATATACTATAGTCTAAAAGAATTTAAAATAAAACATTAAAAAAAACAAAAAATCGTGAGTAAAATAGATATTGATTTGTGATCAGTGTTATTAAATTATTTATGTTTTTCAAAAGATTAACTTCAAGTGAGCATTAGATGACAACAAATGTAATCTTAACCCTCTATGGGACCCATTATGTTCTAACCATAAAATATATATTTTTTAAAAATGTTATTACATGAAATGGCTATATATTATATTTGGAACTCATGCATACCAAAAATAAGTAGGTCCCTGTCATTTAATCCCTATCATTCCCAATCATTTCGCTAACTCATCCTCACTCTCATCACATGGAAGAGCTAACTGCACTCTTCCTATTGCCCTTTCCGTACAACATTGCTGTATTCATTTTCTGAAAAGAAGAAATCAATTTGTTATTTATACATAAATACAACTATCCTACAATAAACACTTAAAATAAATAAATAACTGCAATCATATTGTTGATGCTACTATGCTACTAAACCTATGAATAATATAATCTTATTTACTTATCAAAGATGCTGCAAAAAAAATCCCCTTGAGAAGAAATGTTTAGAAATTAGGTTAATAGAGTAATTTTTGGAGCACAGGTGTCTTCCGTGTGAGGGTGAAAGTGGGAAAGAGAGTTTTGGAGGGACATTCAAATGTCATGTGACATAAAAACAGCACATTATTGGCTACCTAAAGGCCTGCCCTTTTAATTAAATTGTATTTTGCCATATGGCAATGCCGTATCATAAATGAGAAAAATAGGGAAAAATGAGCATGCACATAATATTAACCAATATATATACCCAAAATGGACAAATATTGAAAAAAAAAAACAACAACTATTTTTGTAATTACAATATAGTGCTGTAAAACTCTGCATGAGGCATTCCTTTAATGAACACTGGTTTTCTATGTTCTTACATCTTTAGGTGAGAACTTTGACCGCCAGGCCAGTTTCCGTCGCTCCTTAGCAAACACTGATACCATAATACGAAGACCCAAGAGGGTGCAAAGAAGGAAAACAATAACAGGAGTTCCTGACATTATCCAGACTGATTTAGGTATGATTCCTATTCATGGTTGCATTCATATAAGTCACACCCTTCTCAGCCAAATTAAAGGTGCACTCAGTAATTTTACCCACATTAAAAGATTTACACATTAAGGAATGAATAGTACTTTTTTAAATAATGGTTATAACAATTTCCTAAAATTGGTCCAGTCATATCAGTAGCCTAATAAGAGTTGATGTATTTACATTGAGTGTTTAACCTCATAAGGGCCGACATGACCTGTTAGCCCGTCACACATTAAACCTGGTAAATAATGTAAAATTACCAGAATTACTCCTCAGGTAAATACAAAACTGTCCTGTGCACACAAACAATGGTGATTTTACCGATAAGATCCTATTCATATTTCAGTACCTAAATACTATTAAACACTGTGATGCTACAGGGTTTTCTTCATCCAAATGGATGAAAATCGCTTCAGATTCACTATTTTTCCAATTTGACAACATTCACATTTTGTGACAGGCTCAAAGGGATGATCACACAGAATGCCGATTTGCTCTTAATATGAGATGAATAATAGTTAGTATAGTACAGCAGTTACTAGGCTATAGTACAAAAAAGTAACTGCAGAGCCACTGATGAATGGAAAAAAAGGCAGGGTTTCTAGCATGAGACATGGCGCAATTAGTGGCCAGATGTCCATCTAGCGCATATTTACATAGAAAAACAGTTAAAAACAATGGAATACTGTAATACTTTATGATTGGCCCAAAGCATACTTCTTATGACAACACATCCTGCCCTTGTACAATCACACTGGTAATTTACTGGTAATGCAAAGCAAAACCTCTCATACAGGAAAATTGCCAGCACTGATTTAATGGTATTTCTGAAAAGTTACTGGTGATTTACTAGTAAAGACTGTGTGTGTGAAAGGCTACTGTTTGAAATTTCTGGTGGTGGAAATGCATTATTCTGACTAAGGCTGACTATTAGTAAAGAACTTGACATTGGTAATTGAAAAAGGTTTGCTTTTTCAGTGCGATGCTGTATTTATGTCACTAGGTGTCCGTACAGTCCAAGATGACTGCCATGTTACAGTAACACAACACTAAAATAAAAATTACTGTATACATTAGGTTAACGTAAATGTTGGAGCTTAAAATTTTATAGATTTATATGAATTATTATTATTATTTAAATACTAAAATATATAGTATATCTATTTACTGTATTTTAATCCTTTTTTGATATGTATAAATGTTTTGTTGGAATATCTAAGAAAGAAAATCAAACATTCACCATGCATCTATAATTCCCATTACTATTTCCTTACAGCAAATAAGGAACAAGCTGACTCCAGAATTCATTCCATGTGTATGGCCGATCAGTACTCCACCCTCAGTCGAGTGGGAAGTGTAAACTCCACCCTGAGACGCTCCGACACCCGAGACTCAAGTTGCCAAACAGAAGAGTTGAAAATTGTTCCTCCCTCAGTACGCAGAATCAGAGCACAGAGAGGCCATGGCATTGCTGCCCAAATGGCCAGCGTCTCCTCCTCAAGCAGCATTTCCACCATAAGTGACTGTAATGGTATTGGCTACACTCAACTTACTGACAGTGATCAGAGCTTTCGCAGTTTGCCACGACAAGGTTCTCGCGTCTCGCATCAACACTGTGAACCAAAGAACAACAGCTCCCCCTACAGAATGAATTCTGGCTCTATAAGCTCTTTGTCCTACCAGTTTGACATGCAGCATGGCTCTTCATCATCACTGCAAATGCTGTCTGACTCCAGAAGCAATACTTTAAACAGCCCCAAGCTTGCTGAAAATCCAAATTACCAAGGCTCTGATCAAAATAATAGCCCAAGCTTGTTCAGTCTCAGTGGTGTTCTACAGAACTCCAATCTTTATGGACACAAAAGGGCAGACGATAACCAGATACAATCACCTCATTCTTTATCCCAATTGCTTAATTCTCCTGAAGCCTCATTGTCAGCTGTCTCCTCCTGTTACGAATCTACAGCTTCACTCTGTACAGGGTCCCAGTGCAGCACACTTGATGGTAGAAACTGCAGCAGTCCTAACTGTGTCCGCAGGGATTCCAACTTCTCAGAGAGCAGCAATCAAAGCTGCAGCACACTAACCACTGACCAGTGGACATATGAAGTTTCCCCAAAGGACAACGTCACCTCAAGTTGCTCCTCACCTGTTAGCCATATATACAACAGTGAGGAACACTCTCCCAGCAAGACAGACACAAGCTCATTGTTCTCTGTTGACAATGAAGGTTACTACACCTCTATGCGCCTGGACTCTGGTTTGAAGTCACATAGTCATGGCTGCATCAACAAAGCAGGGGATGCAAGGCACAGTTTGTACGAGTGCAAGGACCACCACAGCGAAGGTGACCATGCGAGTCTGCATAGCAACCGCTCAATGACACGTAGCATTTCCCTGCGGAAGGCCAAGAAGCCTCCACTCCCTCCTGCAAGGACTGACTCCTTAAGGCGCAAGCCCCAGAGGAAGCCTCACCACAGTGTTTCGGTGCTTAGTGAGCAGTTTATCTCCAGTCTGCAGCAGTCATTAGAGCTTAATCTAAAAACGAATAGTTGCTCCGAACAGACACCCTGTGGTAGATTTGAAGACCCTTGGGTGCTCAGACCCAGAAGCCAGAGCACCATAAGTGCAGCAAGCAGCGGGATGTCCGCACCAGCTGCTGTATGTCCGGTCACACCCACACACAGCGATAGCAGCAGTCAACGCTCGGACTATGCAGAGTCATGGGACTTCTACATGGATTACCCTGGTCCACGGTCTGACCAGGGTCTCTCGCCCCAAATCACAAAATCTGCAAGTGTTGAAGAGAATCAAGGGGTCATTGGCAATGTATCCAACAACACTGGATTCCCATCGCCCCACTTCAACAGTAGTGGTATTCAGTCAAAATTGGCTTCTTCGCCTGACAAGGTTCATCGCCTGACGTCACCATCAAGTGGTTATTCAAGTCAGTCCAACACTCCGACTGCAGGCACTCCCGTTACTTCTTTAATAAGAGCAAAGTCTCCGGCAGGGAGGCCAAAACCAAAAGTGCCTGAAAGAAAGTCCTCCCTGCGGTCTTCTGTGTCGTCATCCTCCTCTACATCCCTGTCCTCCAACACATCAGATTCTACCAGGAACATCCCGCCACCTCACCTTGACATGACTTCTGGATTAAATGGGTCATCCAGCCCTGCTTCTTGCTCTCCAACAGCACCTATGATAGACCCAACCCCACCTCTTCCTCATCTACCTGACGTGTCCTCTGCCTTGGAAGAGAGACATAATTCACTTTCAGATTCATCCACAACACCTGAAGAATGTGACTTTCTTGATTTCCCCCCTCCCCCGCCAAATGTTTTTGAATCTCTGTCAAGCAAAGAAGGTACAAATAGTCCTTCACCTCCTTCAATTCTTTCTCCCGAACCATCATTGCGCACTTTATCTTCTCTTCCTCCTCCTCCACCTCCTCCACCATTACTTGAGATGAATCTTAACACTTCAGCCATTTTGAAGACAGAGAGTTGTCTTAGACCTACGGAGGCTGTAGAAATTGAAAAAGGACTGAACAATCACACTGGAGGGAGAGAGAAGAGACCAATAATCACTGCCCGAGCTCTTCAGATGGTGCATCTACGACCTGTCAAGCCCAAACAAATAGAGAATATCTTTACAGCAGTCCGTTTTGATAATTTTGATGACCAAGCACATAACCATTCTGAAACAAACTCAGGAAAGTCTCCAGAAAGTGAGACTACAGAGCAAACAGCAGACAATGCCATTGAAATATCTGAACGTGAATATTCAGTGAACAAATTTGTACAAGATTTTCCTGAGTCATTTAATGGCTCTATACCCCCTGGCCCAGATGAACATTTCAGCAATACTGGGCAGAATGTTCCAGAGTACCTTTCTAAGACATGTGCAGTTTTATCTACCAACAAGCTTCTGCAGTGCACAAGCTCCTCAACTTCTCCCCAAAGTTCACATTTGCAACAGAAGCCTCCAATATCACCTAAGAAGCCCAATCTTTCCCTTCTGATATCGCCCATTATGCACCCACCTGTCTCTAATGTATTCAAGCTTCAACAGGTTCATGAAGAACAAGAGACACTTGAGTCATGGCAAGTGAATGATACATCTCCAACAAAGACAGTAGATTTGCAGGCAGTTCCTTTAGACCTTGAGGTAGGGGAAGAGAGTGACTCGGACTCTTCAACCCCTGTGATCAAAAGCAGACTGTCTCTCAGTAGTGAGCTGTCATCAAACAGTCTCCAAGACCTACAACTCTCTGATCTTATTCTTCATGAGCATGACCTCAGCCTGAGTGATAAAGACTTTGGGCTCTGTGATGACAAAAGCACATCCGATGATGGTTCAAGCAGCAGCTCAGGATCCATAAGCTTTAAAGAGGACGAACATGAGGAAAATGGTAAGGGCTTCTTTTATTACTAGCCTAAAACTAAGGATTTAAGTTTCTGTGTATTGAGGATAGTGTTCCAAACAAATGATTGTGCCAAAAGATTAGAATTTATTATTTGACTTTACATCCATCAGCAGAGCCGTGTAACTACAATTTGTGTTGCATGGATTACTAGACAGTATTATTTTTATTAGGTTATAGATCTGAAATAAAAAGTTAATTAGTTTGATATATCAACACATTCAATAGTTCTAACCCTCCAATGCATCCCCATTATGAGGGACGGCACAGTTCCTGTTTCACATGCTACAAGAATGACTACAACTCTATGATTGTTTATATCTGTTATAATACTAGTTTCCATTGAATCAGCAAAGAAAGTTGAATGAGAGCATTTAGTGTGTGATGGTTAGCGGGTTTAGACTGTAATATTCTCAAGCCTCTTTAGTGCTCAGCAAAGTGCAGTTATTGCACAACAGCAGGGCTACCAAAAGAGTGAATAATTTAAGGAGTAGAAAATGTCTGATGCATCATGGGTTTTATGCCTTTCCGAATTTTCACTCAGTGTAGGCTGTCTTCATTGTTTCTTCCCACTTTGTGAGGTAAGCTGAGTGTTTGTTTGTGTGTGGGCTGTAGGTGCCGTGTTTGACTCGAGCTCTGAAAGCACATCTGGCATTAACACTATAAGAGAGGCTGTGGAGGAGATGGTGACGCCTGTTCGTCCTCGTACAACAGAGGACCTCTTTGCTGCCATCCATAGGTAATGTAATGTGATGTTTTTTTTTTTTTATTTAGCCAGTAAAGCCTACATAATGCATGCAAGTGAAAAAGATGGTTTGTTTGTATAAGTACATTAAACACGAGCATACAAATTGCTGAAGGCTGTGCTCAAAAAGGTAATAATAGTAAGTTAATCTGTCAGACTGTTCATTTCTCTTCTCTTGCACTATTCAACATAAATTAGGGTTTTATTCATTTCCATAGAAAGTATTGTATTACATTTGTGTTGACATGTGACAGTTTATTCAGAAAAGGTCAGAATATTCAACCTCCCCTCATTGTGTTGTCCAGGATAATTTCATAAGAATTTGTGACCAAATCATCAGAAAGTACTTCGTTTTGTACGTTAGAGTTAGAGAACTGGCTCCCTTTTGAAATGTGAATTTTGAATTGGTCAAACCACAGAGAATGTTGAATTGAAATTTTTAATTATAATAGCAGGGAGAGGATGACAAAACAGAATTTTTTAAATATAATATAAATAGAATTACATACTTTCATATTATACAAATTTAGCCATCCGACTGATTTTATTTTATGTCATACAGCATCACAAAATAAAAATACTTCATATGGTGTGAATGAATGTGATAAAATGTTTTTATGTTAAATATATTATTAATAAAAACTATACGTTTAGTCAACTTAATGTAAAGTTACATGATTTTTTAAATTTCATTAGATCACATACTTTAAATTCAAATTTAATTTGAGGCTTTTGAGTTTGCTACAGTACATTAATTCAAATTCAAGAACTGAATTGGAATTTAATTCAGTTCTGACTGGAGCTCAACCCTGATAATGGGTAAATGAGCCTGTAAAGTTATTCATTCTCACCTCAATTATTAATATAATCATATATAAATTATATAATATAATTTTTAATGTATGCAAACACATTTTTAATAAAACAAATGTGGGTGGTGGTAAATCAACTTCCTAAGTCCTTTCAGTATTCTTTTTATTGAAACATTATTAATTTATGTTTTATCTTGGTATTTTTGATGGTCTATACAACATGTATTATACTGACTTTTATGACAAGCTGTGTTTTTTTAATCATTCCATTTTAATAATTGTTGGAGTTGTGTCATGTGCTCATGCATTTTTGTTGAATCATTTGTCTAAATGTGTCATCTGGAGCAGTCTACGTAGACAGAACATGAACATCCAATAACAGGTGTGGAGTAAACTGGCAAGTAAACGTCATTGGCTGGTGTTGTGTACTTGTAGTTTGGCTAGGGTCAGATTACACCCATAATCCAGTAGTTCCTTTAAAATTATTAATTATCCTCTTTTTTTTGCCCTCTCTAATCCCCAAGCTCTGTTTCATGGTGTTTGTATTGTGGTGTCACACCTTTTTTTTTTAGTTTAAAGGTTAAATGGACTGTGATATGAAACAACCTGAAACACTGTGAACAGAGTTGTGAAGATTATTCTAATATGACTGTCAGGACTGAGAGTTTTAGGACAGAACTAAAAATCACATGATGCAGGGTTATTCTAAGAGGATTCGTCATCATTAATTTGTGTGAATCAAAGTTTAATGCCTAGAAAGATCTGACATTCAATTGTTCTTATTTTGCAGCCTAAGGGAACGTGATGGGAAAATATTAAATATTTTTTTATGGGTATAGTAGAATATAAAAAGATATTTATCATAACTCCCACAATATATTTTAAGTAATACGTGTTTATCTTTATAGTTGAAATGTGGACATTTTCTAACAATTAAATTTCAAAAATGACTCCCCGTATTTGTTTGATACCCAATGGTCCTGCTCCCAAACTCACACACTTTAATAAGCAAACCTGTCCAAACCCACATTTGTCCACCTACGTATGGCTTACTTAGTTTTCGAAGGATATTAAACTGATGAAGGAAAAAGTATTATAACTTCAACAAATGTTCTCATCTCACCTCTACCAATACCTCATGGCATCCTGGCATTTAATGTTATCCGATGACCTTCAGGCCTGAAAATACAATGCTACACATTTCTATACATATTTATTGTATACATATTTAGTCTCATGTTCACTGATTTATAGATGCAGTAACCAGGCCAAAGGCTTACCTGAGAACCTGTCCTACTGTCTTTTTAATCCCCAGGTCAAAGAGGAAGGTCCTGGGCCGTGGCGACTCTGAAGAGGAACGCTGCCGTAGCCTCCCCCCTTCACCACCTGTCACTCCAACCGGCTCCTGCCCCAGCCTACCTTCTTTACCACGTCAGACAGGCTCCATTCATCGCAGCCTGCGGCGCTCAACCACAAGCAATGACAGTTTTAAAGCTCTGCTCCTTAAGAAGGGCATCCGCTCAGAGTCCAGCTTCCGAATGTCAGCCACTGAGATTCTCAAATGTACAGACCCCCGTTTCCAGAGGGCTAATTCGGAGTGTGCACAAGCTGACGAACAGTGCATCTCTCCGACGAGCAGCAGGAGAGCGCCTGAAGAGTGGGCACGTGTTGAGGGAGCCTTGCCCCGCCTCACCACCGGACTAACAACCCTAAAATATGGGCGTTCGAGCACACCACCTTCCGCAGCCAGCAGTCGGTACAACAGCCGCTGCCGCATTTTCAGCGGGCCAATGACTGCCATCTGTGAAAAAGAGGGAGAGGTGGCCGAGTCTACAGACTGCTGCATTAGCACTGAGAGTCGTTTCACCCTGCCTATATCCTCCAGCAGCACGGTCTACGCTCAAGGCAGCTCTTAGTGCTCTCAACTCAACCCTAAGAGATCGTAATCCATTCAATATGAAGACCGTAGAGGTCTAAACTCTGGCTGGAAGGCCATGTTTGTGCTGGCCGATAGCATTCCCCTAGGAATTAGTGAGAAGAGAGAATGGGGGAAGTTTCTGTAATACTGTAACCGTAGTTTTGCTCTTTTCCTGAGAGTTTTGTCTTTCTTAAGAAATTAGCGTTCTTTGAAAAATGTTATATTAACAGAGGTGTACTGGTTTGATCAAAGGTTCTTAGCTCTCAGTATGAAGGTTAGGAGTTGGTGGCTAACAATGAATGGAAGCAGAATGTCATTGAAGGATTTTGTGTTGAATGGTCCATGCTGATGCGTTTCTGCATCTGTGACAATGGAAAGTACTTAACCAAAGTGAGCACTGAAACACTGAATGCACAGAAACCGCATCCAGATCACTTGGCGTTGGTGGTGTCAATTGTATTCGCATTATCAAGCATGGTTAGGTTTTGAAGGGTGGCACACGACTGTATGGTTATGGTGAAGTTGCTAAAGAATGACAAAATGGAGATTTTTAATAAGTGTTTAGAGAGACTGGTTTAAAATATGTATATTTTACGCACCTTTACATTCTTCATTTCTTTTTGATTGTGTCGAACAATCTTATGTTAGAGCAATGAGAGAAATGGAATTTTATCTGAACATAAAGTTAAACAGTTAATGCAAGTACATTTTTAACTAAATAAATAGAATTTTATCTGTTTACGGTTAGACAATAATTATAGTTCTCTATACTTCAGTGTAAATAACCCAACCTTCACAAAAGCCAGTTACCAACCATTTTGTTTCATACTGTATACTGTATAGAAACTGAAAGCTTCTATTTAGGTCATGTTTCTATTAACTGTAGGTTCTTCAAACGCTGAGAAATTCCTTGCCTTTGCTTGTCTCACATTTGCCCAATATGACAATTTGTACATTTTCATGTTTCTTATTTCCAAAGGGAGGTACTGTTTAGTCTATTTACTGTACTACCGTATGTGCACCTCAATGTTCGTCTTCCCATAGTACCAAACACCAGCAGAATGGTTGTAGAAGAAACGGTAAAGACCCTGGGTAAATGCCATGTGAGATGCAAGGGTTTCTGTTAAAGAAATAAAACATGGTATTAATCTCAAAACACCACTTGTTTTCTATGAAATATATGCAGTATTTATTTCTGATCTACTGTATCAGAGCTTCATATTTAGAGCAGTGACTGCACTGCAGCAGTAGGATGAAACACAATCCATTGACGTCATAAAGGTAATCACATCTGATTGCTATCATCCTTGCTGAGATTTACAGAGTGTAGACAAGGCCAAAGTGACAAAGTGTTGTCTGGCCAAATAGGACTTTCTGCATTCTGCTCCAGCACAGAAATGCCCACATTTCCGTAATGATGTCAGTAATTTGTTGTGATGATGTTTTTAGTCATAAACCTACCGTATAACCAAAACCAGTGAAATGCCTATGAATGGTAGGAGCATCAGTTTTTTAGTGGGAAATTATGGATTACCCATTAAATTATTGAATTTATTTGTTTGGTTAATTGAAGTTAAGCCCATCTCCAAACGTCAGGACATTTGGGCTGTGGGCCAGTGATGCAAATAGACTGCAGACGTACATGATCCCTTACGCAATTAAGTCCTTTAGTATAGATGCAACAACCTTAGTCTTGAGACAGAGCAGACACTGATGTTGATGGATGTAGAGCAACAGAATCAGGAGTTTTTATACACTTTAGCAAGAAGACATTTCTGTTTCAGTAGCAAGGGAGATCTAAAACACAATTCTATTGGCTATTAATTGGCCTATTGTCACACTTGAGAAACTCAACAAGGTTCCTATACGAAAAGGTAAGTTACTGTAACTTTAGTCTGACAAACTAAGAGTATTGAATTGTCTTGTGTGTATTATAATTTATTATTGTCTTATAATTTAATACTGGATAAATGGTTAAATTCAGTGTCTGTCTATAGCTATTATGGACGTGTGTCCATAAATATGCAGTATATTCATTTTCAATATTATTTCAGAAACTGAAGAGAGGAACGAGATTGACTGGCATACATGCATCTCTTGCACTTTAACACGATTAGCTTTATATTTTTGTTCAAGCAAGTTCAAATTCCCCATAAAATAGGCCCTACAGTCATAGGCCTATTTGTGAATTTTGAAAAAGGTGTCCGCTTTAAAAAGGTACAGCACATTTACCTACAGTTTTTATGTTTGATGAATTAATAATCTCCTTAGTAATGTACAGTTTAATCACAAATGAGCAAAACAGTCAACTGAAAAAAAAAGAGTAGGTTAGGCTATGGTTGCTCATTCAGACAAGACTATGTTAGAGCCTACATTTTGTGACGTTTTTAACGGTTCTCTAACAGTAGTTCCGTTTTGACTGTTTGTTTTATTTGTTGTTTTGTTCTTATTTACTAATTTTCCTAATCTAATTTAACCCCGTAGGACAAGCAAACACAAATGGAAATTCTCACACGGCTGTTCCCCTACACGAAAACGGTTGCAGGACTGAAAACAGTTTTAAACCAAGTCTTTAGGTTTAGGGAACCGACGGCGGAGGCTGGTAGAAATGCCACTCATCTTCCACCCGTCAATGTCCACCAAAAGAGCCAAACATTTGGCACTCAGCTTCGCGCCCCCTTCGCCTGGAGCGAGCAGAGGCGCAGCTCACGCGGCCTCATTACAGCGCAGTTAGCGGGAATTGTGTTAAAATTAATGTCTGTTACGGTCGCTGATGAACGGGGTCTCATTAGTAAGCCTACATCAGCAGCACTGAGAAGGCCTAAATGCGATGGATTGACGGAGTCTTCGTTTAAGACTTATCGTGTGTGATCCCAAAAGAGATTTACACTTTAGATTCAATTGTCTTTCTTTTCTTTTTTATTATGAGACTTGGTTTTTATGCTTAGACTCTGGAAAATTGATTAGACGAAGATTGAAGAGATGCCACTTGGTGTCAGTAATGAGTCGTTGCAGGGGTGCCAAATCCTCCTGGAGATCCTGACTGCAGAGTTCAGATTGAGAACGCGTTGAACCTTGATCCAACACATTTGTCTTATATCCTCCTGAAGATCTTAAAGTTTCAGTTGTGTTTGATCAGCTGAAGCTGAACTTTGCATGAAGATATGCCTATCTCCAGGAACAGGATTGGGCATGGACAGCAGACTAATTATTATGGAAATGCCTAACTGCTTTATATTAATTTATTAAAGGGCTGTGTTGAACTGTTGAGATTACTAATCTGTTAAACAACAACAAAAAAAATTAGTTTGATAGGCCTACATGTTTTTATATTTTGAGCATGTCTTTTGACTTTTATAGCCTACAATAAAAGCACAAAAAAAACATTGTTTGCCAAATATTATCTGTTATTGTAGCCTATTTAGTTTGTATTTCAAACTAAACTATGTATTATTTATAAAATAGCCCACCAATAACACTTTACAATAAGCTTAATTAGTTAACAACATTAGCTAGTTATGGACTAATAATGAACTGCACTTTAGCATTTCTTTGTTAATGTTAATTTCAAAATTACTAAAATATTAGTTAATCAGTTAATGCACTGTGAACAAATAACGAACAGCTGTATTTTTATTAACTAACGTTAACAAAGATGAACAATTACAGCGACAAATGTATTGCTCATTCATGTTAGTTAACTAATGAACCTTCTTGTAAATTGTTCACCAAAATATCTAACATGTACATGTATATCTCACTAGTAGCTATGTTGAAAAATCTGATTTGGGGTTGACTTTTGATCTTTATATTCATTACAGTTCCTGTCTAAATTTCTCTGAACACTAATGATTGATTTCCAAAGTTAATTTTGTCCAGCATTCTACAAATCTCCAAAGAAACATCAAGAGCCATTGATAGATAACCCAAGATAACTCATCTGCTATGGAAAGCAGCACTCTACATGTTATAGGGCTAATATAAACAGATCATGCTGTAGCCAACAATTAAATTTGCGTTGAATGTGTGATTTTTACCCCCATCTAGCGGTGAAAAGGTATATGATCATCTAGTGAATATTAGTTTCTTTTCCTCTCAATTCCAAAACGTAAATGCGAAAGGCGAAGCTTGAATTAACTGGTATGTCCCTCTTTGGCTAATGTACTTTCAAGATAGACGGTCAACACTGACATCATAGACATACTGTACACTAGACCTCACCTTGGCTACGGCAGTTCATTGGAACGAATGCGTCAATAGAGCCGCCATATTGAAACAGACGAGCCCCTCCACTAGACAGTCACAGGTCTAACGGAAATAAAATCACCATAAATCATCATGAATGCGATTTTTCTTTTCTTTTTTTGGTTTGTTCCAACGGTCAGATATGTATTTATCATTGATTCCAGAAAGACATTTTTTTTTTTTAACATTCTTCCTAGTTCAGCTTTCATCCGTGAACATCATACGCTGCACAAAAGTCCGCCACCATCAGTGAATTCGAAGTAAAGGCAGAGATAGCAGTGTTATAGCTATTTCCTATGACAAGACCCCTGTTCCAAGATGGCGGCGGTTTTGACGCATGCTTAGAACCCCAAGGTGATGTCTAGTCTAGTGTATATGTCTATGCACCGACATTAGAACCCCTTACCCGTATTTTCAATGACATATTACACTCACGAGAATAGGCTACTTTATTACTTGAACGAAGTAAATATACATTAATGAGCACATGTATTTTTGAAAGAACTAAGTGTTTTTAGCTAATAATAAACTAAAAGAGTTACACGGTGTAGCTTTAAATTCTGATTTGACTGGAATCTCACAGACTTCAATATCAGTCAGTGGAATATATCAGATAAAAGTTCACATTTGTGAATATTAAGAAACCAGAAGCAAATGAAAAGACTTCAATTAAATTTAAAGCTACAGAAACTTGATCTTTATTTTTCAAAAACAGAATTGTCATCAGTCAGTAAGTGCAATTCCTGAAATGTATGAAACTTTTAGTTACACCTGGCCCTAAAGGTCCTTTATGCTTTCCACCATTTTTGTTAACACTATTGTTGATATGTCTTCTCAGCAGCTTGTCAAACAAGTAAATTTGCTCAATTCTTAACAGAGATCATATTTCTTTAGCTGCTTTTGTGTAAGCTTTTGGAAAAATAAATTTGATGAAGTATGGGAGAACTTCTGGGTCCTTCAGCAAAAATTATTTTATCTAATAAAGTGGTTGAAGTCTCTATTAAAATTATTCACAATTGCTATAAGGGCCAGAGTGGGGCCACTTTTCAGTTCGGGAGTTTCAGGCCCAAAACTGGCCCACTTTTTTATGGTGCTGGTGGAAATTGGATAAATGAAGCAACAGTTCAGCTCTTACTATTGTGTAGTTTTTATTATGGTTCAACAATAATGTAAATGTTAAATAATAATTTACTTAAGCTGAGAAGTTCAAAAAATATCATGGTCATTCATTATCATTTTTATGCACGGGTATCAAATTGTGGTAATTTACTCATTTACTACACCCACTTCTGAACAAACAATACATGTTGGTTTATCATGTACCGTCATATACTTCTCTTTCTTAAAATTACAGATGTATTTATGGATATCAACTTTTGTTATCCTTGTAAAAATGAATATGTTTTTTGGAATAAAATGTTATATAAATCAGGCTATACGGCCCGAGTGTGACGTGTGAGCAGGGTCGGCTCTGTAAATCTGGGGGCCCTAAGCAGGATAATTGTGCGGGGCCCTGCCTTGCACTAAACAATGGAGTATTGCCACCGCAAACCAACAACTATATACAATCTAACCAGAGACTAAAAAATTTTCAATAAAGTTGTTGCATATACTACAGGTTTTGCTAGAATCTCGATCCTTGAACTTCTTTTCCCCATTCCACACTTTGAAAAGAGGGTGTAATGGGGAAAAGACTTTAGAAGGAAGCAAAGCGTTTTGCTTCCTTCTAAAGTCTTTTCCCCATTACACTTCTGAACAAACAATACATGTTGGTTTATCATGTACCGTCATATACTTCTCTTTCTTAAAATTACAGACGTATTTATGGATATCAACTTTTGTTATCCTTGTAAAAATGAATATGTTTTTTGGAATAAAATGTTATATAAATCAGGCTATCCACAAGTTTCCGAGGGCCGCTCCTGTAAAAAATAAAGTGGGTGAAACTTCCGGTGAGGCGGCGGAAGTAGCATTCCAATGGTGTTTTGTGTGTTAGTTAGCAAAAAGGCTAGCTGTTTTTCGGCGAATTATTTTACTATTTAAAGACGCAAATCTTTATGAGAGATGTCGTTACGGAGCTCAGGGACAACATGTGCTGTTCGCGGTTGTATGTATAGCTGGACTAAACTAATTCAGTGGCTTAAACGTGATTGTTTTGAACATAAGCTGAAAACGAGTGATCCTGCCAGAACCTGTCTCTGATCCTGCCAACGACTGTAGTTTCCATCACTTCTCAAAAGACGACGAATCTTCCTGTGTACATATTTGTTTAAATAATATTCTAATAAAATCTTAATATTCTATAAAATCTATCAGCATGTGTTTGGCTGTTCGCTACTGATGTTCTGTACTGATGTACTGATCTGTAGTAAAAGCCCCTATGGACAGGTGTTGAAAATTAGCACATGTGCTATTACACTTTAAACAATGCATCTGGTTCGTCCAATGTTATTGCCATGTCCATATTAAATAAATAAAATAAAAAAGAAATAAATGTTACAAAGCCTGTGTTGACAGAATACCAAATGTGCCAGTTAATGTATTCAAGCAGCACATTCATTTATAATTTTGAATAAACTCCAAAGCACAATGACTAAGTGTGTATTTTTTATTTTAATTGTTTGTCAGCTCGCACAACTGTCTGTCACCATGCCTTGACGAGTATTGATTATTAATAATGTTATTAATACTCCCAATCAACTACTGCGGAGGGTAAAGGTACTGTTATTTCACCCTTTTTCATTTTGTTGAGGTTGTGTTCCCACATCGTTAGCTAGTTTGGATCGCTATAACTTGAATGACTGTCAACTGTTGATTGAACGAGTGTCAAGCATGTCAAGTAACGCTTTGTTTACTTCCAACCGGAAGTCGCGCCCACTTTTGACGCAAGGCCTCATGGGGCGTAGGAAACTTGTGGATACGGCCCGGGTGTGACGTGTGAGCAGGGTCGGCTCTGTAAATCTGGGGGCCCTAAGCAGGATAATTGTGGGGCCCTGCCTTGCACTAAACAATGGAGTATTGCCACCGCAAACCGGCAACTATATACAATCTAACAGAGTCTAAAAAATTTTTTAAAAAGTTGTTGCATATACTACAGGTTTTGCTGGAATATCGATCTTTGAACTTCTTTTCCCCATTCCACACTTTGAAAAGAGGGTGTAATGGGGAAAAGACTTTAGAAGGAAGCAAAACACTTTGCTTCCTTCTAAAGTGATTTAAACATTCTTTTTATCTTTTTTATTTATTTTTTTATTTTTTATTTTTTTTTGCACCCGAAAGAATCGTTTCATATTTGCGGTCAAATTTCCAAGTCCAGGGAAGACAACGATCTGACACGGTTGGTTGACTTAACACAGTAGTTCTCAAACTTTTTCGGTCATTCCCTACTTTGGACAAGGGGGAATTTTCAAGCCCCACCTGCCCCCATCGCCCCAAGCTTAAAATATTCCAATTTATAGTGAGTAGTAGTATCTAAATAACCATCTACATCAAATAACATAACAGAAATGAAAATACAAGTGCAGCTGTGTCATAATTTGCATGGGATTCAAAAATAGAGAAAATAAAAGTGCAGCTGTGTCAAAATGTTAAAAAAAGAAAAGAAGTGAAATTCATTTAGCAAGACAGGTCTATTTTTTAAAAAAAAAATAGGCTACTGTGTTTGATATGGGATTAAAATGATGGGCAGTCCATGAGATATAAACTAATGATTTAATTATTTCAAAATTCCTTTGTTCAAGTCGGATCATGTGAGCGGAGAGGACATTTCTGAATATTCCTTGGCTCGCTCATTCCGTTCATGGAAATATGTGGAAAAGGGCTGCCAACGACTAAAGTTTTTTTCTAGTCGACTAGTAGTTGTTTATTTGAGCCATTAGTGGACATAACGCCCCTTTATATAATATATTATATTATATTTAATAACCACCTAAATAGGCTATAATGAGTGTTATAAAGCAAAGGTTTAATTGGCTTTATGCCCAGCTGCACTACTTCTTGAACTTCAGCCAGCTCCTTGTTTCCTGTCTGCCATTATTGACCAAATTGATTAATTGTTGCCATGACTACTGAGGTCAGGCACACCTGGATTAATCAATTTGGCCAATAACGTCAGACAGGAAACAAGGAGCTGGCTGAAGTTCAGGAAGTAGTGCAGCTGGGCATACATACAGCCAATTGTTTATTAATAAACTGATGTTTTATGCGTCGCTGCAAAGGTGAAGTTGACGATGCGGACTCGCCAAGAACGAATAAACATATAAAGGCATAAAAAAAGGAAGAAAAAAATCCTCCCGTTGGCGCGACGACTACCATCAGTACGTAGTTATGGCGCCCCCTGGTGGCGGCAAAGCCCTAGTAAGCAGCCGCTTAGTTGAGAAGTTCGCTTATGGGAGAGCCGGCTGTGCCTGTGAGCGTGTGAAAAACCAATCAAATGCGGGTGTCTCACGGCCAATGCGTGAGTTGGCAGCTGTGTGTTACTGCATAATAAAATAAATAAATAAATAAAAAAGTAACCAACAACTGTGCTATTCACATAATCAGACAGACTTCGCCTACTACAGAGGTTGGAGAGAAGGCGTCTTCAGAAGTCCCAGTCATGTCAGGGACACTGACACGTTTTAAAAGGTGACTCTCAGTCAAAGAGAAGTGCTCGTCCTAACCGTAGCCTTGCCTACAGGCTACGTGAAAGACCACAACTCCTTTATAAGCGAACTTTACTTCCGAGCACCGGCGAAATGAAGACTGTCGGCGCTTGTTGTCGGTTAGTTGGTCCACTACAAAAACATGTTTATGTGATCCTTACTTTACCGATCTTTTGCACAGCCTTTACATTTTTCGTGGATGTGTTTACGTTACACATTACGCCTTGCAGTGAGACTATAGCGAAGTCTTTGAACCACAGAGTGGACATTAATATTTCCAACACCACAGCAAGTCGGACGGAGAATCACAGCGACTTCACGAGTGTGAGTAATTAAGATTGCACAATGTCCTATTTAAAGCGCAGAGTTATAGGCTCATGTATCTGTTTTGCCACAGGATGTCATGTGTCAAGAAGCAAATCATTTTTCTCATGGGAAAGCGACATACATGACGGGTTTGCTTATCGGCTCTTTATTCGGTGGTGCTGTATCTGACAGGTTGGTATTCCCCCCTTTCTGTCAGAAGCTGTTGCGACTGAAGCCGAGTTAATAACAGAAATTGTGTTTTCTCCCTCCCATCAAGGTATGGAAAGAAATTACTACTCATTTGCTGCTCAGCGGTCCATGCAGTCGCCACTCTGATAGTGGCATTTCTGCCGTATGTACCCGTGTACCTGGCGGTCCGTGGCATCAGTGGTGCAGCCTGTTGTGCCATTCACATCTGCACCTACAGTTTAGGTACAGCAACGCCTCTGTCTTCTTATTGTCTATTAACACAAGAACAAATAGACCATTTGAAATAAACTAGAATAGCGGTGGTCAGTCTTGCACCCGGAGAACTAGGCTACTTTTGTACAATGTAAACAAACATGATCAATAAGTTATTACAACATATGTTTCAACAGTGTTTTAACTCATCAAAATAAGTTAAGCAAATTTCAACCTTTATTATAAGTTATACAAGATTCAACTTTTTTTTAAGTCAGTTTAATATAATTTAAGTTTAAATGACTTAAACATCCATGTTGAGTGTAGCCTACTCACGTTTTAAAGGCAGCGACTTAATTTTTTACAGTGAACTGCATTGGATGTTACCAAACTTTATATAGCCTAGCCTATAGGCTATATCAGAAACATAGATTGAGTACAGATTTGACACAACTAAGGAATTTATGAGGCATTATCTGGTTTCTCAGGGGTTGAATGGAGCCTGCCCAAGTATCGCATCTGGCCTCCCACCCTGTTTTCTTTCATCTTCAGTCTGGGAATGATGGGATTGGCTGGCGTAGCTTTCTTGACCAGTGACTGGATGCAGTTTTATCTAGCACTGGGCATCCCTCAGATCCTCTTTCTGCCTCTTTATTTGTTAGTAGAACAAACACACATTTTTCAATGCAAGTTAAATGTTGATTAGTAATTTTGCATTATTAATTGATGTTGCATTATTAATTAATTTATTTTTGCAATTATTAGCTTTCTCCCGGAATCTCCTAAATGGCTGCTTCTTAATAAGAGGATGAAAACACTAGAGGGCTATCAGAATAGAAGTCCGGAGGACAAGCACTACTTGGATCTTGTAAGACGCATAGTCGTACTCTAGAATTGCTCAAATATTTGTGGAAAAAGTGCATGCAACATGAAACTTAAAGTGTACATTCCCTTCATTGACAGCTTTTGGAGTCTGTCGACTCTGAGAAGCAGATGTCACTCACAGAGAAGACCGAAGACCAAAAAACAGAGTCTAATTTCACCAACTTTACATCACATACTATACTGCTGCGCCTGTTTATCATGAGTTACATTGGGTATGGAAGTTTAACTTTGGTAATGCAATTTCAGTTATCGTTTTCATTTACACTTTTTTAAAGTACGTTACTGTATTTTAAAAGAAGCAAGTGTGTTTTTCACATATTTAGAGTATTTTTAAGTATGTGGCACACAGAGGGAGGTGACCTTGCCCTTTGAGGAATGTCTTACTGGAGTTGTTTTTTCAAGCTCAAATAGTTTTCCTGAATGATGTAACGTTAAGGGGCTATCACCAACAAACCCCACTGGCAAGTGTTACTGTAAAATATTATAATCAATAATTTATGACAACATTTTTTTACATCACATTAACTGAAAATAAATCAAAATAAGTTAGGCCATTTGCAGCTTTTTTTTTATAAGTTATACAAGATTGAACTAATTTAAGTAAGTCTAATGTAATTTTAAGTTTAAATGACTTAAACATTTAAGTTGAGTGTACTTTAAAGTTTAAGGCAGCAACTTGTTTTTTGAGTGAACTACTTACACTTAGCCTCGGATGTTTCCAAACTTTAAATAGCTTATAGGCTATATCAAAATTGTACAACATAGGCTGCGTTCACACTGCAGGGGCTTAATGCTCAATTCCGATTTTTTTTAATTCGATTTTTTTTTTTTGCAAGGCTGTTTACATTTCCACTTAAATGCGACCTTTTATAATCTCCTATGTGAACGTGAATGTGAAATGACCCGGAAGTGACCCGCATACGCAGAAGAGTACTCAACAGTCAACGATGTCACTTGTTGTTTGCGCAAGTAGCTAAGCATGGATTTTTTTTGTCGCATAATATCAATGACGTTCGCGTCGGATACATGTGACTTGGTCGTTCAGATTGAAGATCGGATATCGGATTTGGACCACAAGTGGCCTGGGTCGCATTTGAAAAGATCGGATATGTGTCGTTCATCACTATCATGAAAAGATCAGATAAAGGTCACAAAGGGGCAAAAAAATCGGAATTGGGTCGTTTCAGCCTGCAGTGTGAATGTAGCCATAGTTTTAGTACAGACTTAACACAATCAAGACAATCATTAGACAATTAGCCTTAATAACTTAACACAATTAAGTTGAAATGACTTAAACATCCAAGTTGATTGTACTTAAATGAAGGCAGCAACTTTCAGTGTTGGAAACATTTCTAATCATTTATTTTCTCTGTAACTACTGGCAATATCTGATCACATCCATAAATATTTCTATTATCCACACAGTCCTTTCACACTCAGTTTTCATGTTTGTTTTTTTCCCCACAGTTTTGCATCTGCTCTCACGTATTACGGGATCTGCTACAGTGTGGGAAGTTTTGGTGTAAATATCTATCTGGCACAGTTTTTCTCTGGACTATCAGAGAGTCCCTCTTTGCTGCTTCCATTTCTGTTGAAGCGATGGGGCCGTAGGCCGTTCAGCATGGGCACGCTGTTCCTTAGTGGCATTTCCTGTATGCTGTCTCTCCTCGTTTCCAAGTTATGCGGTAAGGGGCACTGTCTATGAAATATAATCATCATGTAATCATAATCTGAGATTGCTTAGTGTAGATGCTATATGTGTAAATTTCTTAGAAGAATATCACTCTTACAATTATTATTTGCAATATTCTCTCTTTCTGAACAGACATGCCTGCCCTTGTTATGACCCTGGCACTGATGGGCAAGCTGTGTATGCAGTCTACCACCTGTGTCTCTATGCTCTATGGGATTGAGCTGTTCCCAACTGTAATAAGGTACACAATACCCAGACAGGCCTATCTGATAAAACACATTATTGATAGTTAGATAACTCGTCTCTAATTTTAAAACACACCCTGGAGTCCGTGGTAATGTTCAGATCTCTCAATCATAAAATATGCAAGGACAAGCTTCTTTGTAAAGTGTGGACTTCAATGAAAATTTAGACCCGTTGCAAAAAGTATCAATATTACAGTTCCTCATTTTTCAAGTGTCACGTTGTGGCACCCGAAAACAACATGCAAGAACCAGGAAATTCAATTTAAATGGTCTTTAATAACAAATAAATAAAAAAAATATAGGAGATTGCATGAGATGTACTGGTTAAAGGTGCTATATGTATTTTTAGCGGCCTCTATCGGTGATGTTTCAGATTGCTACCAGTTTTTACAAGGGTGCTCGTGGTTTTGCGCGTGCTCGAATACAAGATGGTACCGGCCACACTGAGACTTTCAACACACCGGAGAAAGGATCACACAACATGCTGGAAACTCATGTAAACTCCCACTGCAATGTTACAATAATAGGCTACTTTTATCAGCTTGACGTTGAACTAATGCACCATGCTCGTACCATGATAACATTACATTTGTGGTGTTATCTAGCATAAGGCATTTCACTTAATATTCGTCTATCTTTCACAATCGGCAATGTCAACATAGATGAATGTAAAATATGATAACGAAAACAGTTAGTGAACTAGGCTAAACAATTTCAGTGTAACAGTAAAATTGTAGTAAGTGACATTACTGTACTGAATGTGTCTGGAAATGTACAATATGATAGTAGTGGGATGAGTGACATAAGACAGTAGATGTAGTACATAAAATTACAAAAGAATGTAAAAAGTTACATCCTAAAGCACCCACTTTTTGTTATCCTGGAACAGTCTTTTGTGTTCATTTCATGTCTCATATATGTTGTAGTTTACCTTGCTATTTCTTTACAGTTTATCATTACTTCAGCATATCTGAAAACTTGTAATTTTTCACAGTAAAAATAGTGGAGGTCTCTCAAAAATAGTGTTGATCCGTGTTTTCGTCCTAAGTCGATCCGATTCACATTTGGCCTGACAAGCTTCAGCAGATACATTTTTGTTTTTTTATATTTATGCGAGTTTGTGTTGGAGTGTGTGTTGTGGGCAGGTCGTTTTTGGTGTTATCAGACTCCATGTCGTTCGCTGCATTGCCGTTGCATAGACTATATAAAAAGGAGAGAGGCTCGGGAGCAAACATTATCCTGACAGTCTGAGTATTTGCTGATCTATGAGAGTATTCAGTACTAATCAAAAGAACATCTGTGGCATTTCCTGCATTGTTAGAGAGATATTGGATTGTTGATCCACAGTGCGAGACGCAGGTAGACATTCAGAGTAAAATATGCTGATTCATGGTAGACATTATAAAACACTTTTTTATCAGTTACATAATATTGTGTGTAAAGTGGCAGTGGAGTGAATGTAAGCAAACTCTACAGAACTTGACAGTAGATAAAAATGTTCACACACTTAATCTGAAATGTTTTCCGATAAGTTGTTGCACACCTTGTTGCACAACATCTGCTGTAATGAGTGAGAAGGCAATGATTGATTGAGTTTATAAAATACTGTGTTACAGAGTTTGATTATTTAATAATTAAACTCTAAAAATAAAAGTTCCAAAAGGAACAGCAATGCCAGAGCAGTGATGCCCTATAGGAGAACCATTTTTGGGTTCCCTAGAAAAGTTAGTTTTTTTCTTATTGTGAAGAACATTTCTTATTGTGAAGAACATTTTAATAATCTCAAGGAAATTTTTGTAAATGGGAATTTATTCAAGGTGAAGTGTGCCGTTTTAAATGGAATGTAAAAAATCAAAAAAGATTGTTTTTAAAACCTGTCTTTGGTCATCCATGGCTTACTTATTCTGTCACACAAAAATAGTAACTACAAAAAAAAAATAGTAACTATAAAAAGTAACTACACCAACACTGAAAGTGTTTTATATATATATATATATATATATATATATATATATATATATATATATGTGTGTGTGTGTGTGTATGATATTGATTAACACACTCAGTTCTTCAAATCTGAGAATAGTTAATCCCATTTAACACACAACAAAACAGGAACATTTTTATGTGGTTTGGAAGTTCATTTAAAAACAACTTTTGAAAAACATGTTTCAAAGTGCAAGTTTTTTAAAATTATTGCGTTATTGTCTCCATTTAAACTATAAAAACGTGAATTTGTGAAAACGGTAATGTTATGCGCATGCATATTACGTGTTAATTCCATATTCGTGTAGTGTTTCTTTACAAAGTGACATCGCCAACTACTGGCCTGGCCTGCATAATACAGCGTTTTTAGTTGTTTTCACCGATTGGTGTGAACGGGGATCGTTTTGGCAATGTTGTCATCTGTACACAAAACACACAATGGAAAAACGTTTCTATTTTTGTTACATCGTAGTCGTGTAAATGTCCCCAAGGCTTTACATTCACATTAATCCGGTTACATTTGGAAATGGCATTTTTATTTCAAAACTGTCTCCTTCCACACTAATGTTTTCCTATAGTTTCCCGTCCTCACTGAAATGTCGGAAAGCGCTTAATTAACCTTACTGCGCATGCGTAAACCCTCATAAAAACTCATTGAGGTGATACAGACAGAATAAGACATAACAAAGGGGGAGTTTTCAATTTGGTTCAAAAATACAATATTGGACAGACAGGTCTTCTTCAAAACACCTCCTTTTCCTACTCTTATACTAAACAGTCAATACTAAAATAGTTTGACAGATTGGCCTGTCAGATATCTGGAGGACTATTGTTTTTTTTTTTTTTTTTTTTTTTCTTTTGGACGATAAAATTATCAATTTCTGCAACTATCATAGTATAATCTCCGATCATGACCCCACCTCTCTGGATTTAAGGTTTCCACTAGCCAGAACTCATTCTAAACAATTTTAAAACATTTTGTTCAGAACGGCATTGTGTAAACAACCCCTTAGTGTGGACAAAGCCTAAGAGAAATTTCAGTTGGAACTCAAAATGTGTATTTATAGTGTTTTGCCTTCAGAGGATTGCAATAATGAATTTATTTTCAACAGAGTACATTATTGTTTATCAAATGCACATTGAATTGAAGTCTCTTCCTCACTAACAAAGTGTTTTACTCGATGCAGGCAGAAGTGTGTCGGCTTGGTTAGTCTTTGTTACCGATCGGCCTGCATTATAAATGCGGTGTTGACCCCTGAGGGCGAGATCCCTCTGCCAGCTATGATCTGTTACAGCGGTGGGCCGATCATTGGTGCGGCCCTGTGCCTGTTTCTCCCAGAGACCAGTGGCATCCCTTTACCAGACACAGTACAGGACTGTGAGAAACAGCCCAGACTGAAGCTCTCATGCTCTGCACGGTGAGATGCATGAGAAAAAATTATTTAATAACTATAATATGACTTATTATATCTTTTAAGAATCAAAAATACAAGATAAAAAGATGACAATCACTGAACAAAGAAGTAATTTCTGCAAACTTTGCCTTTAACGTATTACATATATCATTTAAATATATATTCAGGTTCAATTTAGCATTCTTGGTCAGTGCCTGTATGTTGTATACAGTACTTAACCAGCCATATAGAAAGCCAATAAAGAGCTAAGTATATAATGCCCTGAAGTACTGGTAGCTGAAAAGTTTCATAAGCTGCTGCTGATCAGGTTATAAAAATATGAACATGTACGAAATATTTTGAATTCCAGAGAGGTGAATGGGACAGTATGTCAGAATTGTGTTGAAAACAAGTGTCCAGCACAGCAACAATGTTAAACTTAACAGTAAATGTCATGCCATGATAGCTTTTATTATCAGATCTATCAGAGATTATCAGAGATTTATTATCTCTCTTACCGTTAGTCCGATGGATCTCAAACTTGACTAGTGCCTTGCTACGGGCAAGAGTAAGTGCAGTGCCGAGTTTGACATTGTTTGGATTAGAAATTCAAAAGATATCGCTAAATATATCGCTAAAAGAAGCACACATTGGCAAAACACACAAAAACAAATTTATTTATTTTTTTGCATGGGCATTTTGCACTAGTATAACCAAAAGATAGCAACCCGTTTAAAGATATAAGGGGGAAAATGCTGGTCCGCTGCACCCAAATAGTCAATATTTTAATAAGAAGAATAAATACAAATCATTATGAATTAATAAAATATGTTTATTTTTATTTTTTTTAATGTCAGTTTGCCCATGAAGCATAAAAAGGAGTCCGATGCTTCTTTTGTCAAGGAGACGGACATGAAGAACCAAACAGAATGCAGCCTCCTTTCAGCATAGTCAACAAGTGCACACTGTTTCCTGTCATAGCAGAAATATTGACATGTTCATATTATTTAAAATGTCTTTTAATGCCTTTTTTTATATCAATTTAGTAAAATGTGAGTGTCTATGCTCAGGAGGTCAGCATTTTAGAAGGTTATTTTTTAAAGGAATTCTACTGTGTAATGGCTTTTGCTACTGTGAAATGCTTCAATAATGAACTTTACTTTTGGATGATGATCCTGGAACATCTGCCAAAAACACACGTTATAATGGAATCATTCGATGCTGCTATAGGATTGATACATGCACAATTTGTCTTTATAGAGCTCAAAAACCACACACATTTTTATACATATTCTCCTTTGAGTGTAAAGTCTTTGTTTTGTAAAGCCTTATTGACAAATTTACAGAATTGATTTCTCTTTTGCTCTTGGATCTTGGAAGATATTGCTCCTGGAAAAGTAAAATGTTTACCTTCACAAAAACACTTGGGGACAAAGTCTGTAATTCTTAAACAAGTTTTGCAATGAAGTACAGTTGGTTAAATCATTGTTTTGAAGAGCTTGCATATATACTGTACCATGCAACAATAATGACCATGTTTGTGCGTGACCAAGTCTTCAACTCCAGATTTAATGTGCACATTTCTGATTTTATTAATTATGGTTCGTGAACATCCATGGAAACATCCATTGCACAAAGGGTCCTTTAGATTATTAAAATGATCCTCACAAACTCTTCAGGTTTCTGAGTTTTTTGGGGGTGGGAACCCAAAATGGTTTTCCATGGTATTGCATGGTAAGAGAGTGTGTGAGACGATCATTGGTACTGCAATGTAATATACAAGTTTGATTTCTCCCCAAGAATAAAGGCCACTGCTCATGCATGCTGGCTATCAAAAGTACAATTTTATTGTATTGATATCAAAGACATTCTGCATATGATTCTTTGCTGAAGTGGAATAGCTCGAACTGAATTATTGTGTGTCTTGAACTTTCTACTATCTGTCCTTTAAAAAAAAAAAAACACAAAAGTGTGTCTTCCAAGCTGCTTCTTAGATGAGTCACCAGTATTACATTTGTGATTTTTGGATGTCTTTACAGTTTCTTTATGAAAGTTTAACAAAGTGATTACATATTAAGATCCATATAGCATACATTAACCTCACCCAAGGGTCCGAACACATTCAATCAGCCAAAGTCTTGTAACCAGTAATGTTATTAATATTTTTCACTGCATAAACATGCGTCTGTGTATACCTCGGAGGCAAACTTACACATACATAGGTATTTCATGTAACTGAATACATATTGGATTGCTTTCCTCGGGATGACTCCTTGTGGGCAATGAGTGTTACTGCCTTTCATTATGAGCAATATAATTTATGTAATATAACATAATTTGGTAACGCTTTCTTTTACAGTGTAGTTACCTGGAAAGTACTGGCTAATATAAGGTAAGTACATGGAACTGGGGTAGGTTCACTAGTTATTACCCAGTAATTGTAGTTACTAAAATAAGTATATATACATGGGTAACTGGACTGTAAAAGGAAGTGTTACCCATAATTTCTCTTATTTTATCAAGATAAATGAATTATTAGTTTTACACCAGCACCAAAGACAAATTAATAGAAGTTAAAAATGTAGGAAATTATCTTTATTAGAACGTATATACATTCAAAACCAATAGGAAAACAATCATTCATGATTAATTAACATATGTGCAAAGAGCAATAAATTAAATTATAGCATAGAAAGCAATCCCACTTCGTTAAAAAACAAACATTTTCAAAGTAACAGATCAAGTCAGAGGTGTAAAAGTAAAAGTTTACAGTTCATAACACTTTAAATAAGGCATCTCTATAGGTTTCAGAACCATTTTTAAAGCTTATAGTTTGTAGTAACATTTGTATGCAACAACTGCTCACTTTTGTGATCAGAGAAAAAAGTGGCACAACATGCCGATGGCAAACCACTATCATGTTTCAAATACCTGGAGCAACTGCACTTAAAATACCACAATGCCACTTTTTAGGTGTTCAAGTGATAATTACTGTGTCTGCATAAAACAGCATAACTGTATTCCAATGCAATCCTAGACTATAACATGATTAAAATATATATATACAGGTGTATCTATAAAAAAGGGAACATTTTACTAGTCAACCCACATAATCAAACGGAACAAAAAAAAAAAAATAGGACAAAATAATTATATTGAAAAACACCTGTTATCCCTTCATACAACCCGTGAGAGGAACACTGACATCTAGTGCTCCTAAAAATACACACCAACTTCATTTCAAACTGTGCAAAAGAAAAGGCCCCGCCAATGCCAGACAACATTTGTCATCAAGTTGAGCTTTACTTTGGCATCTTAAGTACTTCAGCTATAGGACACAAAATTGGCTGGGAAGATCCCAACCTGCCCTCGTAGTTCTCCCTCCCACCAGTCGTACTGGGACTCAGTTTTGGTGATAACAGTGATGCGGTCTCCGACAGCGAAGCTCAGATCCCCGGGCTGCTGGCCGCTGAACGGGTGCACAGCTGTGACCACTAGAGCGCCGCCTGACGCTTGACCTAGAACACAAGTTTATGTTTAGTAAAACATATTCAAGAACAAATACATATAAATCCTAATTTAAAATATTTTTTTCCCCCTAATTTAAGATTTTAAATTCTAATTTAAATCCTATTTTTTGTAGCATTTTTAAATTTCATCTAATTATAGCCATCAGCATGAAATCATTCTCAATTATTTAGTAAAACATTCATGAACTGATTAAAATGAAACTATTAAGAAATAAATACATTTTTAAAAAGTTCTATATTTGTATTAACATGTTTGTGTTCTCAAGTTTTAATTATATGTAAACTTTATATTTCTTTTATTTGCATTTGTAATTCTATTGTTGAAAATATTTTTGAATTCATTTAAAATTTATCCTGAATGGTATTCCAGCACTGCTTTGTGACAATATGTATTATGATTAGGGCTATTGAGTTAAACTGTATGGTGCATTTAATCATGGGCTTTTCCTTATTTGCAAGCCAGTTTGATAAATTGTTAAATGTAAATGTATAAATGTTGCATATGCAATATTATAGGCAAGTTTTTAATATCATGCATATTTACTTATGATTATGTTAATATAATGTCACCCTTAAGCATGTCAAATGCTTAGAGTGATATATATATTAACATATTCATCAATTTGTATGATATTAAAAACTAAAAATAATGTATGAAATTGTAGTAGCACAATGTCAACACTAGAGAGCAGCATGTGTTCCTATTAAAACAGTTTAGCCCACTTTGGCACACTCTCTCTCTCTAAACACCACAAAACTTCCCAACTCGAATAGATGGTGGTGTGCAACAGTATTAACATCTGCAGATAGTATCTGTCAGCCAGGGGGAAAACCCCTTTCTTTATCTGTCTATCAACATGTTAAGATATAAACAACTGCAATCATTCCTGCTGTCAGGTTAACAAACAGCAAGCGTAAACCTTCAATTACTGAAACTCTTGACTATGTGATTTAACACATCAAGCTGGAATAAATGAAAGATTTACAGTAATCCATGTTATTCCTTCGATACATACAATAGATTTTTTTAACCAAAATGTCTGGTTAAACAGTGTCTAAAACATGACCTTTGATTTGTTACCTAGACATTTTAGCTCAATGTTTACACATGAAATGAAAAATTTAATTTTATAAATGTATGTTAATGTTAACAATTCATTTAAGCATGTTTAATTTGAATCATTTATTTACTTCATCATCATTTGTAATTAAAAAGTCATAACTCAATCTTCCAGGGAAATGAAGGACAAATGCAAACCTCTACATGCCCATCATAACCATAAACCCTGGCCATACAGTATATATATATATATATATATATATATATATATATATATATTTCACAGAACAATATTTTTTTTATTCTTTACGATAATCGGTTCACTCTGAAGTACAAAAAAAAAAAAATCTGTCGCTATAGGCTACATCCATTACATCATAACTATGTTTCCTTTATTTGATGCCATAACCAGTGTTGTAAAGTATCTGAGTAAATGTAATTAGTTAATTAATAAAAATACAAAGTAGCCAAAAAGATACTTGAGCATCAAAGATATTAGCAACTTTTACTCTCTACTTGACTACATTTTCTGAATAAGTATATGTACACTCTACTACACCAATACATTTGTGAAAACATTTCGTATGGCACCTAACTTTTTCTGCAGCAGTTTATTTCTGCTACAAAAGAGATGTTTCTTAGGTGTTGAGGACTAAGCTGAGCCCACATTCAGTACAAGTAAAAGTCTTAAAGTATCTGAGTTTAAGTAACAGTACTTAAGACTTGTGACATGTGAATTTAAATTGTCATTTTTGCTTTAAGGTATCTGTATTTTTCCTCAAGTATGGTTTTCAGGTACTCTTTTTTTTAACACTTTTCATTTAACTAAACCTTCCTGTCTTATTTTTTATGTTCAAAACAAATTTTGAATCCCAGATTTCCAATGCGGTTTTAGACTAGCAAACTGGCATCCAACATGCATCAAGTGCCATCGAAGGATGCGAACTGGAATGCCAACCCGGAGAATGGGGGGAAACTTTTAGCGAGGGGTTTTCAGGAGTGAAGACATAAGAGAGGAGCAGGGAATCAGACAGAGGTGGAATGTGGTTTCACACTGTTGGCACCTGCTCTGAAATCTCCTGACTCCAAATAAACCTCGGGCATAGCCAAAAGCTTCAGTCGAGCCGTTTTTTCACGCTAAACGCTTTTGACTTGCATCCTAAAATAACTGCATCCATTCGATATAATGTTCATTCCCACAACCACAAGTGCAAGACATGACAAGCAGGGAGTAAGACAGCAATACAATCCAGAGAGTTTCTTCAGATCTGGAAGGGCTGTGTATTTTGGCAGAGTGGTGACATTTGAGCTATGCGGTTTTCTACTTGCACACGCAATATGTGAAAAAGTGACAGCTCATGACAGGGAAGAAGGCCTGCCATTTCTCCTCTCAATTGCTAAATCTCAGATTGGAGCGTGGGCTAAGTCCCATCAGGGACACGGTGACCAAATCTAATCGATGTAACCGTAGATAATCGCTAGCACATTATGGTGGAATGCAAAAGAGCCAATTGACAACCTGGATTCACTTCTCATTCCACAGGAAACAGGAAAGCAGGATCATTCAGAGAAACCCGTATAACAGCTGCTCATCGTGCCATTACACTCAACAAATCAAAAGCTCATAAAACATTATCCCTTTATAGACAAAAGAGTCTTTAGAAATCAGGGTGGCTCTATAACCACCTTTTCCTAAGGCCAGAGATCCATCTAAATGACTGTATTATTATACAGCTTTAATGATCTGGAGGGCAAGGAGTGTTAATGAAACGGTGAGGAGTGAGAGTTTTCCCGGTCTCATTTTTCACAAATGATATCATTATAATTAGGGGGAGAGAAATGTCTGACAGTAAAATAACAAGCAATGTCAACACACCCAGAGACCTTTTTTTCAGCTTAACAATACAGATAAGTATCTCTTTGAGTCATCTTAAAGCGATGATAATCTCAAAGACTAGTCAGTTTTATCATATCATGATGAAGTCTTTCTAGTAACACATCTGCACAACTTCTATAAAAGTGGACAGAACACATATCAAATCAAAAGTCGTTCCCTTCAAACCATTTCATTAAAAGTGTTTTTCTCAATGTTAAGTTTAATGGGATAGATCACCCAAAAATGTCTTTTTAAACATTCCAAAAACTCATTTGCGGGAAGTAGCGTCCCACCATGTGGGAGACTCACGGAAGAGTTGAGATGTCTGAAACGTACTTTTTTTCTGCTGTTGAACACAGTCCATGCAATGAAAGTCAATGGGGTCCAAAACAACAATGGACCCCAATTACTTTTATTCTATGGACATTTTTAATATATGTATTTGGTGTTTCAGAGAACAATAAAATCATAACCAAATCTTTCTGCTGAGGAACATTTCTAATGATCCATTGAAAAGTGGATCAAATTTCAAAAGTAAGCAACAAAACAACAATGGACCCCAATGACTTTCAGTCTATGGACAATTATATATGTATATATATATATATAAATTGTCCATAGAATGAAAGTCATTGGGGTCCATTGCTGTTTCACAGAACAATAAAATCATAACCAAATCTTTATGACTTTCTTTCTGCTGTGGAACACAAAGTGTAAATGATAATGATCCACTGAAAAGTGAAATCGCTGAGGCAATTTCAAAAGTAAGAAACACTGGCACAACCAATCGCAGAAGTTTACGGGAGAGGATATGTTTGTTTGACCAATAGTAGAGAGCAGGAGGATTTGGGAAGCTGAATTTAAAAACAATCACGATTTTTGAATTTCGTTTGGTGACGGTTCACTTTAACCGGCACAATTGATCCATAATAAAACGCCTTTTACGCTCTGCATTTAAATTGTCCCATACAGTTTTGCTGTAGAAAAGTAAAAGTTAACAAAATAAACGGGAGACATCTGTTGTCCTGATTTTGATGAAGTCATCCAATGCCGTGCTTTGACATCCAACAGGTGTACCTGTCTACTTATCCTCAATGAAGCAATGACAACTGGCTGTTGAGACACATCAAGTTGTTGGCTAACAGTATCTATTCCTTGAACAACTCATCAGGCTCGCTTATACATGATCCTCCTCTGGCCAAAGGATTGCTTTTGACTGAGGGTTTAGTGTCTTATGCAGTTGGCAATCGAAATCATAATTTAGGATGCCAGGTATGTTTTGATTTAGAATGACTGTTATCAACCAGTAGAATATTAACATGTAATTTAACAAAATCCGGTAATTAACCATCACAGCAGGAAAATGGACTCCTATTCCCACCTGAAGGAGATGCGAACAATAAAACCTTGTCTACAGCAGTCTCTAACCGTCTGGATCATGCTGAGGAACGTGCACATTTCAAACAATTACTTTTATTTACACATCTGAATCAACAGTTAAAAATAACCGAACAGATGCACCATAATAGCACCTAAATTAATTAAAGATTAAATACAGGAAATGTGGGATGTCAGCTAATCTTTCTCAGGCTGATGTACTGTATGCGTGAGAGAAGTGGAGATAATAATAAAATGCACATAATAATTTAGTTCTTTCAATCTAATTTTAGACATTTTCAATGAGTGTGCACTTCAACAAGCAATTATCATCTGACTCAATGTGTAGGTGAATAAAGTATCACTCATTTATGTAATTAGAAGGAATGCAAATGTACAGCCAACTTTTTTGTTTTGTTTTGTTTTTTTGTGGCAAAGCAGATTTGTTTGACTGTTGGCACCCATGCATTCAAGAACAACTTTACCTGGGACAACAAACCCCACGTCATGTATCTACGACCAGAATGCGTCTAGTTTATATTAGCCTCAGCACGCTTGATCGCCCTCTCTCATAACGTCATTCACTCACATTGAATGAACTGCAGTTGCAGAAGCAAACACAACCTCTCAACGTGCACTTCTGCAACGTTCTGACGGCACTCTAGTTAAGAGGACAGAACAGTAACAATCACATACAGGTACAAAAGCTGGTTTCCAGCTTGCCTATGCTCACGATGGACAGAAACACTAGTATATTTCAGTTCTAGCCCATAAAAAATCTGAATAATAAGCACTACGACCAAAGATTTTATACTTTACTACAATATATACTCTAAAAATTGGCTCAAACATGTGTGGTATCCTCTGACTGGGTGAAATCAAAATCTGAAGCTTAAAAAAATAGAGTCTGTGCTCATCCTACATGATTTCCTGTGAAGTCTGTCAACTCCCAATGCCCAAAATCTGCCGACTCTGACTTTCGGCAACTAGTGTCTGACTTGTACAGACTGTAAATTAGAGCAAAAGTCACATAGTGTATTCCAGCCTTTAGACTGTGTTTGTTTAAGACGGTTTTATCTGGCCTGATCAACTGAAAAGTGCCCCTCTAAAACCAGCAAACACACCATGATGACAAGGCTGGAAGACCTAAGATCACAAAACCAACCTAGGCTGGTTTAAGATGCCTTTTCAGAAGGGTTACGAGCAACTTATTTTAATCAATGGTTTTAAAAAAACAAGTTACTGGTGCGTGGCATCTAGCTGTTTTCTTAAGACTGCAGCATTTGCTTCCTTTCAGTTGTCCTTTATGAGCAGAACACACCATAATCTCCCTTGAGTGTTGAGTGCTGTTGTTGGCTGTCCTGGACTTAAAATCAGTGCAAATGTTAGTATTGTAATGTTTTCATGATCAATCATTGCTGTCTTTTATACTTGTGTATTAAAGATTGGCACGAGTACTCGTCTACTGTTTTGTTGGGAATCAAAAATGTTAGTTAGCAAGACTTGAGTGGTGATTTAGGACAGTATCTCCTCCCAGTTTGTCCTATTAAAAGGACAGGGAGGCTGCCAAATGTTTTGATGCTCGGGTCTGTGTGTGACAAAATCCACCAGTCCTGAATCCACACACATTATCTATTAGCTAATGGCCTTTAAAATATCTCCCCTCATGGATGAAAATGTCATCTCACTGTGGGAAAGAATGCGTTTGCTGCATAGCTGACTTGTGACATGGCAAAGAGCACCAAGGCCCTTCCTGAATAAAAGAAGATGGGGAAAAACAGCCAGTCTACAGCTCATGGCTTCTTTCGAAATCTTCCCAGCCAGTCTGAGGGGTTTTCTTCGAAACGGGGCAGGCAAAGCCACTCCGTCGCGTTTTTTTTATTCTAATCCCTATAATTCAAGTTTAAACACAGGCCTTTAGGAACCTAATGCAAATAAATGAGAATGTTAGTGGAGCTGAATCGACGACAACACAAATCATCCTCCACAGGCTGAGCTGATTAATGAGAGGATCTCACACAGCACTGGTTGTTTCTTCTCGTGCATTTCGGAAATGTAATTAGCCGTTGCTAATCTAGTGGTTTTAATCCACTTTATAATTTATCAGTGTTGAATGAAATGCATGACCACATTGTCATCTTTATTCTCACAGGTATTTCTTGTTGTTTTAAAAAGTATCTGATTAACCTCATACACAGAAGGAATAATCCCTTTTGTTCGGATATTCAATATGCTTGAATAAGCAGGGCGGGCTACAAAACACACAGTCAAATCTTCTTCTGTCAGTTTATTATCATAATCACAGGTGTGAAGCATTTTTTTTTTAACAAACATAATTTTACTTAAGTAGGGAAAAATGGTTATATTTACCTGTGTGAGAAGCTTGTGTTAACAGAAATACACAAAACCTTTTGTATGATATTTTCTTACAGCATAGTCCTCAAAATAAAATACATTACAAATATAAAATCAAAAAAAAAAGCACTCACCTGAGCTTTCATCATCCCAGCTGTCTAAGCTCGGATAAAGAACTGGCTTCACAGATGCAGGAGCTGTGAGAATATAATTTTCTGTATAGTTATATAGTTTTTAATCAACATAACAATAAAAGAGTCACCCAGAATCAGAGGCAATGAGATGGCACATTCCTTCTAATTTTACAATAACCCCAGAAAATATATGAACATTTTTTTTAGACCTATGCGAGTTCAATCAGTCACCATATTTCTACTCTGAAAGATGAAATGCGTGCGGATCTGAGGGGTCACTCGGCTCTTACCTTGAGTCCTGGGTGTGTAGGCAGAGGAGGCAGCTCTCTGTGTGGGAGGCCTTGGTCTAGATGGTGCTGAACTCATCTGTGAAAACAGAGACACCCAAATATACATCAACAGGCTTGTCTCTCACCCAGTGAACTTGATAAACAGAGACTGGCACAATCAGTATGCAAGGACAGTTCACAACTTAAATATTAATTGGATTAAAGTATACAAGCAACTGAATATTCACTGTATTTCTAATAGTGTACTGTAATCCTACAGAGACCTATTGATTTAGCTTCATTCCAACTTATAAAACTAAATAATTAAATGAGATACTCATTACTATGACAGGGAATAAACCTGATTTCATAAGACCACTGTTTTTTTCAGCACATAACCCCAGTGACCAAAATGAAGTGCCAAGTGTAAACCCTATATTACTGTCATCTACAGTGTTTTATAGATGTCTGATTTATAGTAGCCATCAAATGAAGCTTACAACCACCTTCTAATGTGTTGAAAGACTTTGTCAGCAGATTATATTTCTCATGCTTTATGTAGGTGTAACTTCTTCATTCCAAACTCACAGAACTACTGCATACTTGTGATTTTTTTACTTTGTTTGAGGGGTTCCTGTGTGCATGACTCAAATGAACAAAAAGGAGTAAAAAAAAAAAAACTTGAGTCAGTGGAAAATAGTGTGACTTTAAATCCCATCAAGTAAGAGAGATTAAAGTTACTTAACCCTTACCCTTCAAATGAGTGATGTTGCCAATCAAATTGTGATGTTTCAGCATGCAAAGACAAATCACACGGGCAATTTAAATACAGTTAAAGATTAGCTGAATGGGTGAGGAATATTTATATTGTTGCTAATCTGGTAATACAAATGAGAAATGTATCAATCCTGTAAGACTATTTCAACACTGTTTCAAAAAAATCTTTTTTATTAAATTCCTAGCTATATTGCTGCACAAGAAAAAAATACTTGAACTCAATATGATGTCAACAATTCCTCTAAATCTGATAAGAGATGGGGAATTTGTGAATAAACAATCTCTTTCAGCTCTACAGTCATTCTTGGGATTCATCTAGTCTGATTCACTCTAGTGAATCAGTTTGTTCAGACACAGTTCATATAAATGATCAAATTAAATGATAGCAAACTACTATTCACAGCCAAATCACAATTTCGAGTCCCTGTCCTGCATTTAACATATTTAGTGACAGTGAAATATTTAGTTAAATGAATTCATCACTAATTTTGTTGTTGTTGTAGATGGTGTATCTGTTATTAATGTAACCGTTCAAGTTTGATGTCATCACCCTGATAGCACTGCTTGTTTATCCATTCAAAACTCTCATAGTCAGAAAAGTACAGCTTTGATTAAACCAAAAATCATCAGAAAGCAATATTTAACATTATTTTATATAGTCTAGCTAACTACGTTTTCAAAAGAGTAGCAGAAAACTACTTCTGAGTATCTTGAAGCTCGGCCAGCTTTAGTTTGGGGCCAACATGGTGCAGTAGTGCACAGAAAGTAACCTTGCTTGAAGCTGGCATGTGTTTGTTCTGCCAGTCGGTGGTGTACTTCTCAGTGTAGTCCTGCAAAATGGTGTACAAATCATACGCTTCAGGTGGGGGTTCCACATCTCCATTGAGAATAGCAGAAGCACGAATGTCTTGGCCATAGAACCTATTCAAAAGTAAGGATCACATAAGATATCAACTACGGTATAACAATGAAAACACAAAGTAGGTCAAAATGTGAGGTAACATCGGAGCCTGAGGGCTTTATTTCAACATTTAAACTCTTTAACCTATGACATGTGCTTACTTTCGGTTGGTTTCTTTGCGCTCAATGAGATAAGAACCGACGAGAGACACTCCAGCGTAAAGGCCACGAGATTTGCAGTACGAGTAGACAGCCGCTGTACTGCGAAATGCCACATCTGCCTCCAAATTCCTGTCAAACATGCTCAGTCAGACTTGTATATATGCAAGGAATAAACACTACACAGTCAATGATAATAGTGGAATCAAATGGGAGGATGAAACTTTCATAGGGTCCGTTTTTCTTTTATACTTTACATTTGTTTTTAAACTTACTCAACCATTCAAAACTTTAAGGGCTAATGTGAGGATATTTTGACAATTTTGTGTGCATTTGTGCTTTCAAGTGCAAGAAGACACGCGTACAAGAACTCACTTCAGTATCGTGCACTATATGAGAGGCGGCTCTATCAAAAACGTGCAAAAACAGCGTAATCGAAATTTAAATTTTATTACAAGTATCCAATTCCTGAATTGGAATCGATTTTTGATTTCCAACCCTATTTCTAACATTAGGAAACATTGGAAGGATGTGCAGAGCAGTAGGTGCTACACAGTAAAAAAAGGCAGATGTTTGGACAGTCATTTATTAATGTCATAAGGTAGGGGTGGTTGATATACTGGTTGAAATTTGCCATCGGCTCTGTAGCTGTTACGAAAGCTTATTGTTTACATGCAATTATAAGCATTGCGGTTTAAAAACAAGTGATTTTAAACCGTTTAAACAGCAAAAGAGGACTCACTTTAGAAAACATGCACTGTCTGAGTTTGAGACTGTCTCTCAGCGCTGTCTGAGAGATCCGTGCACACAAAGCCGCTGTAAAGAGTATGCATTGTTTTTTATACATTTGATTACTTTATACATTTTATATAGTAGTTTGTTAAGGTCTATTCAATGTATCACTTATTTGTCTTCAGTAAGCTTGAGAGTTTTTTTAGGCTAGTATTAGTTTTTTTACTTGAAGGGTTGTGCATAAGACTAACATGCCACCTTCATAATCATGACATGACATATGTTATGAATATGAAGGAAGTTTTATGCATGTTTGTTACAACTGTGTCATTCGCTCAGTTATGATCATTTTAATGCAATATACATTGTTTGAGATGTCTTTGTTATGACACCTTGACATAAACCAATACATCATAACCTGTCAGTGTCTTTGCCATGACAACTTGACATTACTAAAAACACAACCTGTCATAAACATGACATAGCAGATTAATAATCAAACTTAAGAAACCACCTAGCTTTATTGGTGAACATTACATTAAACTATCAGGTGGTTGGTTTTGACATTGGCTGTAATGAAGCCATTATAACGTTTTAATGACAAATTCAATTAGTACCACTGTAGTTGAGGTCACGAAAAATATTCATGACACAGTTATAATGGCCTCATGACAGTCAATGTCAAAGCCAACCACATGACAGTTTAACTTAATTTTATGTCAAGTTGTAATGACAAAGACAGTGATAGGTTATGATGTTATGGTTTGTCAAGATGTCACACAGACATCTTAAACAATGCCATATTTGCATTCAAAGTGTCATTATTGAGCGAAAAACACTTAATGACAGTTGTCATAAACATGCATAAACCCTACTTCATATTCAAGTCATGTCATGGTTATGAAGGTGTCATGTAAGTCTTATGCACAGCCCTTCAAGTAAAGTGTTACCCCTTATTTAAAGCAAAAAATATCGTGATATAAGATGTTGGTCATATCGGCCAGTCCTACTATAAGGATTCAACATAACTTGCAGAACAAAGAGATGATTTTCAGCTCTGAAAAATACAGTCATTTTTATTTAAAAGAACGTTGTCTGTCTTATATGACCCCTTTAAAATTGTTGTTTCATTGTTCACCAACTAAAGAGACCTTGATTTTGATGCAATCCTTGATTTTATTAAAAGAATGAAATGTGACATTTATATCAAATATATCTTAGTAGGTGGTAAGAATTTTCTATTCCAAGAATAACTCATTTCAGAAGAGCACACCCTGCAGTCACTGCAGCCAAACCAAATACAAATCTGATCTAATCAAAACCAAAAACAATCAAACACATCCACAATAAGTGGAATCTTCAGTCCTTTTCAAAGCTACTGTAGTGTATTGGGCAACCATTCAGTATAATATTGCTTGCAGCTTTATTCTGGCGAGATCCATAAACAACGATTAAAGCAACGAGAATAAAAAGGACTTTCCAAACAAGCATAAACACAGCAGAATCTGTCAATTAAGGTAAACTCACTGATTCACCTTAGAACAATGCAGCTGTCATTTAAACTAGCACTATTGAGTACTCTTATAGCATGGACACCCTTCATTATCTATAATTCTCACAGTGTTTTCCACACAGGCTCATGCTTGCAAAATTATGAATGACTGTGTTGCAGGTGAAAGCTTAAGCTGGCAGCTCACAACTGTATACATTTTTTTGTATAAACATGTCATTAGAGAAAATGAGTCCCTTGTGAAGTGATATATAGATGGCTTTTATATTCTGTTGATTATATTTGTAATTTTCAGTAAGAGCAAGAGCTTTTCTGTCATTGCTATCCGTAAATGCACTAAATCAACCGTTCAAAAATATTACAGCTAATTTATACCTTCACAGAAATGCTGTGAAAGCCTTCCATCGCCTATGTAAACACTTTAAAAACTTTCTCCGAACAAACGGACACAATGCAGCTCACAAAAAAATTGCAAAAAAACATAAACTCTACTCATAACTCATAAACAACACAATCATAATATCAATGTCCTTACATAAATCAAATCTTTCTTCCTTAAGCCATAACCTTTGATTTTCAGACGCATCCAAATAAAAAAATTAAACACTTCACTTCAGTCATAAAAGTGTCATGTCAAATTACGACACATTGCTTAACAGTGGACAGGCATTTGCTCAAAGCACTTACGTAAGTTTCCATACCTTCACTCTACATTATTCTGACCCCTGGCAACAGAATGGGGTATTACACAGTAAATTTAACACACATACCTGCCAAGAGGCCCAACAGCCACAGTGCAGTTTCCTCCAAGTGTAAGATTCCCTCCTTTACTAAAAGCATCCACAGCTCTCCTCTGATTCAAGATGATGACAAAATCTGATGACTGGAGATGAAAAAAGAGGACACGCGTCATGTTTTATGTGCGCATTAGATGGACGGTTTAAAATCAAAAATCAAAAGTATTTTTAATTTAATTTAATTTAATAAAAATGAGAATAAAAATGATAAGTCAATAAGAATTTTATCCACACTGAATGTGAATGCTGACCAAGGGAGTTTTAGTTTATTTAATTTTTCCCGATTTTTTTAAATATTAATTTTAATTTTAAATGGAACATCTATAGTGTATACATAGTAAAGCTATAATGAAAAAGCTTTAGAATTTAGCTTAAACTCCCAAGGTTAACAAGTGCTAGCCAATTGTTCGTATCTAGTGATGTTCCTATGTTGCATGCCGTGCTAAGGAATTATATGTAATATCATGTGTCGATTGGGTGATTCAAGAAATACAATCATAATGGTCTTAAATTATATAAGTGATACAAGGTATTCCTCCTGGTTCTGCGAGCACTGGAACTCAAGTTTGTATGTTCTTAAATAATGTTTGTTGTATGTAAATCTATGTTTGTATGTTATTATTTTCCGTTTCATTACTTTGTGATATGGACCTATGGGTCTGGAATAAAGAATAATAATTATATTTTATTTTTACTTTATTTTTACTTTATTAATTCTGTATTTAAACAATATATATATATATATATATATATATATATATATATACACACATAGTGCCTTTACTTAAATATAAATACTAAAATACTGTCATTGTAATCAAATAATTGTATCAATTTTGTAGTGTTTTCCGCTAGAATACACAAAACATTTTTTTTAAATAATTTAACATGTTTTATTTTTATATAATTTTAGCTTTAGACATTTTGAATTTTCAACCAAAAATTCAGTATAAGAATAAGTCAATAAGAATTATGTACAGAAAGTTGACCAGGGGATGTCATTTAAAAGAAATTTAATTTAATTTAAAATGTAATTTCTATTTTATTTTAACTTTACACAAAAAAAGAATAAATCGTGCCACAGATTTGCTGTATTAAAATCAGTTCAGGTGTCTAAGCACCACCAGACCATGTGATGTTAGATAGTAGGCAAGTGTGTCCATCATGCACATGTGATGTATCTAGTTATCATCACTCTGACAAGCACTCCGCCAACTGCTGAGCTTCTGTCACCAGCAAAACATTAAAAAGTTGCTCTATATTCAGCAATAGTTTTTAAGCTTTTTTAAATTTTAGTTGATGTTGAAAGATTTGGACCGGATTCAGACATGCTCTGGTTTTAATGCCTAAAGATAAAATCAATATTTCCTGTACTCCACTGCAACTTATCAGGTGTGTTGCTACATACTGAGAGACAGAGACTGCAGTGCTAACCACAGTGCCTGAAGGCTACTCCAGAAATTAATCAAAAGTGTCAAGATGCACAGGCGCTCGGTACACAAATGACTCATCCGAGCTGCAATCCAAGGTCAGGAAACAAAGTGCAGCTTCTGCCCGATGCTGACAAATGACCTCGCTGGGCACATGTCACATGCACAGTGATTTCCTGTGCCAGAGATATGAAGATCCACTTTATGCTTTGAAAAATGATGAAGCCAGCACTTGAGCTAATAATAGCTCCTGAGTCCTGACAAAAAGGCTGACATCTGGTTCAGGGAAAAGGACGTAATGAGTTATTCATAATGGGTCATGCTTTTACAGAACACATTGCAAGATTCACGGAAAACTTAGTTATGTGATTTTATTTCAAATCAAAAAGAAAACAATTATTTTGAGGGGCACCTGTTTATCATTAGTAAATGATAGTGAGACCATCCGTACTCAGGTGATATATTTGACGAAAGTAAAGTCAATTGCAAAAGTAAAGTCAACTTTTTTTTAAAGATTTTTTTTTTTTAAGTGTGGGGACAGTTCTAAATCAGTGACGGATGATGGATGATGGGAAGAAAAAGAAATAGAAAACAAGACAGCCAAGTCAGACGGGGCAAATATTTCAACGTCTTTATGTTCTTGTCTATGCATGACTCAGACATTCTCGATGGAAAGAAAACATGTTTTTTGCATGACATTGAATGAGAAGCAATTTACAAATTATACCCTGATGAAGAATCTATAGTAATGTCTGCATACAAAGCATAATCCATAGGCATACAGCATAGTGTAGTGCAAGATGTTCATCTAATACATGAATAAAAATGTTGCACTCTCTGATTCAGCACAAAATCTAAGAGACTGAAACTTTCTTAACCATGTTATATGTTATAACATATGTTATATGTTTGTATATGTCTTTATATGTTTTTTTATGATAATTAATTTTCTATTGGTTTAAAAAATAAGTAAATAAAAATACAATATTCACAGATGTTCTACTAAAGAACCCAAGAGGAATTTTAAAGTAATGGAAAAATTACCTTTTTGTATATTTTTAGACAATTTAGCCAAAATCATGATTTGTACTTGAATTAAAGAAATTGGTTGTTCTTTTAGAGAGTGTCAAATTAAAAACTTACCTCCAGACCAATTTCAAATCCTCCACCGAGTCCAGCAATGCCAATTGCTGAAGGAGCAGACCATCCTTCATAACAGAACAATAAGCAAAACAAGAAAAACACTTAAGTCAATTAATCTCTAAATGTTTGTTTATTCCGTTTATAATGTTGTTTTAAGGCAGCTGCCAGACATCAATTACACCATAACCCATTACACTCCCCATTTTCACAAATTGCTCTATTTTGTCGTAATAGTTGTGAGTTAGGGTTTATCTAAACATGTACTCAGAAACACTATGTCAGAAACTATATAATCTCCCGACCTCACCAAGCAATTATAGGCCTACATGCAAATATATTTGACGCTCAGAATAAATGTCAGAACGGACGCCAATAAAACCCACTTACTTCCATCAGCGAGTCTTGCGATCACAATCCCGCTGCCGCCCCTCGCAGTGATCATGAAACCTGCTTTGAAGACTGACAAGATGGCCAGTCCCTGAGCCTTGGCAATGACATGAGCTGGTGTCAGGTTGTGGAAAAGATAGAAGTAATGAATAGGAGATATTATAATTGGACTTGTGCAGGCAAAACTGTTCTGAATCTAGAGTCACAAGTACTGAAATGTAAAAAAATGAATAAATGTGCAAATGCAAGATGAAACAGGTAGGCAGAGTTGATTGGTGCATTGTGTTTTCGCACAAATATGGAGAAGTCACTGAGTGAATTGCATTCATGTCACTTTCTGAAGACATGCATGAACAGATACTTGGCAATGGACCGGTAGAAAGACTACTAGTCTTGTACACAAATGACATCAGTCAACAGAAATGCTAACTTTGGGCTGTTAATAGCACTTAAATGTCTGGCATGAGTGCTATTACTGCATCAGGATTAGCCTAAGCCCTTAAAGCACAATTAACCGTGGCTTCAACAAGTATGAGTGTCAATGCATATACATTTTAAAACATCAAAGTGCCATTTATTTTGGCACAACACCATTTTAAAACATTTCACTACAATTAAAGGTACACTATGTAACTTTTTCGTTCAAAATTAACTAAATTTAAGTAATAAGCCAATACATCATCAATATGTTTTTGTCTTACCCTGATTCACTATGTTCTACTCTCCATTGACAGTCCACACAACTTTGACGCTCATAAAGAGAACTTTGAAGTTCATAAAGAGATCGTAAACTAATCCATATGAATTGAGCGTTTTAGTTCAAATTTTCAGAAAAGACTTGATCGCTTACTGAGATGAACAGACTCAATTAATTATTTTATTCACATTTAAACATTGATTAGCGAGCAAACATAAACACCTCAACATGCTTGACCCGCGAGAACAAACCTCATTGGTTTTGCTGAAACTCAAATGTGCTGCATAACACGAGAATGATCCTCATTGGTTCTCAAATGTCAAGCGAACGTGCTTGAGCTTCTGTTATCTGATCTGTTCATCATATAAAGCGATGGAGTCTCTTAAGAAAATTTGACTAAACTATACTCAATTCATATGGATTAATTTTACGATCTCTTTATGAACTTTAGCGTTGACTGTCAAAGGAGAGTACAGAAAGCTCTCAGATTTCAACAGATAAGATCTTCATTTTATGTTCCAAAGAAAAATCAAGGTCTTACGGCATAATTAATGACAGAAATTTCATTTTTTGGTGAACTATCCCTTTCAGTTTAAAGTATAAAACAACAGACGATGAGCATGGAATAAATAGCATGTCCATAGTCAATATGATGAACTATGTTGAACATTTAATGTTTTTGATTCATACTTGTTCCATATGGGTCGGAAGGAGTGATTAAACTAATTTGTTTTTTTTTGTTTTTTTATAATAATGAATGTAATAATTTATACATTAAATTTCCCTAAACAGAAAATTTGCAATCCATAAATCAATAAAAAAGTGAGTAACTCTTTTTAACAAATCTTGCAGTGCCTTTTTTTTTTTACAAGGTTTTCAAAAAATAAAAGTTGGTAAAAATATGATACCGATTCTTATGTTGTCAGATTTTTATCAATTGAAAAAAGGGAAAAATTGAATTTGATTGATCACTAATCACTGAAAGATAAAAGTTTTCCCATTGTTTTCTAATTGGTTTATGACAGCAGCACAACAATTACCTGGAATAAGTTTGTCAGGTCCCATTCTGTTGGATATTTCCGTGAACTCTCTAAGGATCTTGCCGGCCTTCTTGGCCTCAGACTTGAGGTTAGCAGGAATAGGGTTATTCACTGTAAAAGAAACATTAGAAGATGGATAATTTTTTCTTCCTCTGCTTCACATTCCAAAATTCTGAAACGTCAAATGTCTACAGACCAAATTTGTAGGATGTTTTGCATCTTCCTGAATGCTTTCAATTCTACTACGCAAAACGCCTCTCTAGTGGCATCTGCTACTATGAACCTGAACCTGTTTTAAATACCAAAATTATTTAAAGGCTATGGCCAATATTTAACGACTTGTTCAAGGTAACAGACTATGAAATCACCACAATTACATGTTCCTCTATTTTTATAAAGTTTCTCTCCAATGTAATATGACAAACTGTAAATTATTCATTAATACATCAACATAACCATGTCAACATAACCAACATAAGTTATTTTGCTCACCTCATTAATAATTGCACTAATTATATTAGCCAGAGAGAGTCAGTCAGTGATTAGTGTGTTAATATTCAAAAATGTGTCTCCCACGAGTCACTGTCTGAGTCAGATTTGCCTTTCCTTCTTGTTGTTACTCATTACATCTTATCCAAGCCCATCTACAAGCCACGGAGACACTGATGCTGGTAGAGTTTAATTACAACATATAGAAAGATACCAGGTCAAAGTTAAAAAAAAAAAAAAAAAAAAAAAAAAAATGTATAAAAAACTAAATATAATTTAAAATGCTGACTAATGTGATGTAACTATCAAAAAACAACAAGTGACTGTCTTGGCGGAATTCATTCTTTGCTCGTGACGCCACAAGTACTGTCTGGCGGCAAGAACGTCGTTCTCTAGCAACGAAACCCAGTAAACTAATCAAGGATCTTGCTAGGACGTCGCCAGTTAATTATCCAACAGATGGTGTTTTGAGGTGTAAACGACATGCCAGATAGTTGTTGAGCAATTGGATGCACTAATGTCAATCGTGTAATCTTAACATAAATGTGCTTATACGTTCGCCAGTAGGTGGCGAAAAGGCGTTCATCTGTATGTGATTTAATTTGATATGGTATGAGAAGATCAATACATGCAGAATGAATGACATGTTACTGTTGTACTGCATCAACTTATTACTTATTTGCATGCTTACTATTGTACACTTATTACTACACTACATTACAGCCTAACAGATTGCTAACAGAAACACTACCCATGTATTTGAAGGTTGAGCAAGCAAGCTTATTGGCTACTGATTCAGCAGGAACCAATCAGCAGCACCCTATAGAACATAATGATGTGATTACGAGCAGGTTGAGTTAGGACTTATAAGCCTGCGCCATCTAAAGTTTTATGACATAAATTTGTCAGAGGAATTGATTTTTATTATTTATTTATTATTTAATTTGACTAGCCCCCACCCCACCCGCACACACACAAATTACACATATTTATATGCATGTACACATAGGGGTGTATATGCAAGTATGACATTTTTAAAGTAATTTCGAATAATATGAATCTATAAAAAAACTGTACCCGATGTACAAGTATAATACAAAAGCATTCCTTTTAAATACCACCACACCCACATTTTGCGACAAAGATTAATCCATCACTTTCTATTACCTGATTTTTGACGGATGAATGATTCACTGCATATATTGGGGTGATCAAGCACCCTTTTGCAACAAATAAAGAGTCGCTTCTGGCGTGTGCACCCTTTTTGTGGTTTACTCAGGGGGGTACTTGCAAAACGTCACTTAGTCAGTTGAAGAATTCTTGGAAAACCATCCACATCAACAAGACGATTCACCTGTATGCACCTGCTTAAATATTTTAATATAGTAATACCAGGACACCCTCCAATTAGACAGTTCTTTCCAACTAATGCTACTCGAGACATTCTTAAATATATATCGTCTAAGAAGAATGTTTGTTATATATGCATATGTGATGTATCCCCCTTCTTGTTTTTTGCATTAAATCTGAAGATAATTTAAAAAGATACATTGATTTGCTTTCTTATATCAGGGATTCATAACTCTAGTTGCCCTAGTTACCCTTGTTTTCCAGATAAATGTTGTCTGTAAAAAACGCAGTAAAAAAAAATTAAAACTAAAAAGTAACAGTTTCACAAAGACTGTTGTAATTTGGCATTCTTTAAATGTTTAAGTGATATTGATGTCATTACTCAAGGTTATTTTTTAAGTAACTCACCACTATCATACTACTTTTACACAAGGGTCAAAAAATCTATTCACATACATTTATGGCTCATTTAGATTCCTAATACGCACACAAGTTGCACACAAGTTACAGTTTGTTTGTTCATGTTCCTAACCTTAAGAATTAGCAAAAAAAAATTATCATAAAAACTACCCCAAGTTCAGGACATCACATGAAAAAGCAGATGACTAACAAAGAAGTCATTCACAGTTGCTTGAGATTATTTCCCAAGTAAAAAAGGAGAACCAAGTTCATGTTCTGTTTTTTACCCATTAAAAAGTGCCTATTTTAAGAAGCATATCTTGAAAAGAACTGCACACACAATGGGACACAAGATATCTGAAAGTGAACTGGAGTCCTGAACTTTGTAAGACCTGCATGAAGACCGTAGAACTAGCATCAAATTGGTAATTTTTTTCACAAAGTGCTGTTGTGTAATAATCTCTCTCATTACATATACATTGTAGCAGTAAATGCCAGGCTGTGGCTGGTAACACCTCTATGATTCTCTTTCACTCCCGTGATATTTTAGTATTATACAGCTGTGTGCTGTAAATTCTTCTCTAGTTTGTCATACAGCTGTTGATGTAATGCGCTGGAAAATTGCTCTACTGAACTGCCATCAACGTACATAAAACTTTACGCGCTTTCAAGAGATACCTTAACTTCTACGTAAGTAACTTATGTCAAATAGCATCTCATCTATCAGATATTCTGCCAAATCACCTCACAAAAGAATGTTTGTCTGAATCATCAGACTAACCTGATCTCATGACGTGGTTCTAAAGAGGATTAGTACGCACTGAGCAACGTAATGGTGCTTTGAGGAATCAGGTGCTACAAGCAAAATAAAACAAAACAATGTTAAAGGAGTATTAGTGATCTCATTTTCCAGAAATATTTACAATTCTGATCAAAAGTTTGGGGTCGGATTTAAAATATATATATATATATATGTGGATATGTTTAATTGATCAAAAGTGAGACCAAAGATATTTATGATGTTCTTTTGAGCTTTCTATTCATCACATATATTGGAAAAAAGGTATCATTGTTTTAACAAAAACTGTTTTTAACATAATAATAAACAATGTCAGCACCAAATCTGCATAAGTATGATTTCTGAAGGATTATGTGAGTAGAGTATGACTGGAGAAAACAACATTGTAAGATTTACAACAAATCTAAATATTTCTATTTTAATGTATTATTGCTTTTGTCAACCTTTGTCAGGCACGTTTCCAAAAAACATTTTTGTAAATTATACAGGCCCCAAACATTTACAAATTATTTTTGTTTACTAAAAGAAAATATGCACGTTAATTTAGCAAATTCAGAAATAGGGGTTTTCCGGAAATAACTATGCATACAGAATGATAATAATGCTTTCATGACTAAGTATAAAAAAGTTTAAGGCAAAAAAGTGGATAAGACACAATGAATGTGATTGTTTTTTGTAGCAACACAACACATAGCCCAAAAGGGGCAACCAAACGTGTTTTATGAACTGGACCAAAACCCTCTCACACAGGCCCTGGATCAGTAGGCCATCCGTTTGAGCCATGCTAAATGCAAATGATAAAAATGCAACTAACTATATTTTCATGCATATTTAAGATAGCAAAATGAATATGTACAGAGTTTTGCTCCAAATTCATGTCACTTGTTAGAAGTTAGACAAAATCAGCAGATCCCAACATGAACAGATTGCAAGATATTTGCAAAACTTTGCTTATTGGTGGGCCTATGCAAGTCTTGGCAATATAAGTGTCCTTGTTTGATCTCAAGGACTTTTTAAAATTTAGTTTGTACAAGAAACACTTTTGGTACTGTACTGGGCCAATGCATGATGCCCAATGTAAAATCCTGAAGCAAAATCATTTGAAAAGCACCGCTAAAGAGCAATTGAAGCGCTATTTCCGACCCTAATGTCAGCTGCCACTGAATAACATGAGCCTTGGGTCTTTTTCTGATTTATGTCTAATACAAGAATCCCCTCTTTCTGTTCTATAAGCCTACGGCTGTAATACATGTGTCTCCAACAGAAAGCATGAACTTTGTGAACTGAGAACATCTGGAAGCGGATTTGCAGGACTGATGCAGTTCTTTTTTATTTTCTCAAGAGACTTGAGAACAATAATGCTTACTGTAAACTTTGTATTGCATATATTGCCCCTCGAATCTGACAAGAAACGGTACCAACCAAGCTTTTCCTTGGGGCATCTTAGTAAGGCTTATTACTGTCCCCAGGTAATAGTGGATGGTGTTGTTTTCCATTCATTTTCTCATTCATGTAAAACCTGTGCTGTGACTGTCATGGAGAGGGGGTGAACTAATAAATGCACCTGTGGTGACAAGCGTAACAATGAGAATATGATTTTTGTGATTACTACTGTACAAATAATTACCGCTTACGCAGATAATTAGTCAATCCCAGATTAACATGGCAATATAAAGCATGAAAAATGCAAATATGCTGGGACAGTGCAATTATGCCTTAATTTGTAGTTGGAGGATATAATGAACAATTACGGATGCAGCATTGATCCATAGAGAGAGAGCGCAAACATCTGACTGACACTGACACTTACAGTGGAGGTTGCTTTAACACTTTAGACAAACAACTTAATCAGTGAGGCTCAAGAATCTTCATTCAGTGCTTTTTAGTCCTTTAAAATAAATTATCAATGATAAATGAGTTTTTTTTTTTTTAAGGGATCGAATCAGATGCAAATGTCAATAAAGACGGAAATGGCACAAAGTATGATGGACACCTGGAGCCGGTTCCAACAAACCCCTCAAGTTCAATTTAATAGTGATAATTTGTTCATAATTATAGCCTTAAAGCTTTTAAACACATTCGACAATTTTCACCATGCATGTTAACAAAGCTACTGGAATGTCGAAGGGACACTCCGGATCATGTCAAGCTGTCTGCTACAAGGTGGAGAAATTAATATCTACTTTCCCACAGGGGTTAAATTAATTGCTTTTGTCAATCAAGACCGCAGACAGCCTATCGCGTGTGGCAGCAGCAGTGACGTCAAATAAAGTGCACGTCATGCAGATGGTATTTATATCATCATGCTCCACTACCATGGTGAATCTACAGTCTACTTTTTTTTTTTTTTTTCTCAGAGTAGAAACTAGACGGAAACTAGACGGTAGATTGACCATGGTCATGATATTTTACACTGCAATATAATTAGGCTAACAGAACCAGTTATTATACTGTCTCTTGTCAAAGTCAAACATAATGATTTTCTTTTTAACATATTCTGTCAGTTTTCCTGTATGGAACAATCAAATATTTTCCATATCACATACTTACCTTGACTTTATACTCTGAAAATGTTTTGGGTAGGCTATGTTTAATCTAGCCTATTTAGCAGAGATATCATAGGCTACTTTGAAAAGTCGTAGGCTAAACCAAAACAAATACCTCTTCACAATAAACCTACTCGATTACTACAGGAAGTTACACGTTGGGTTATTACCGATTCATCTCAGGGAATAAGAAAAACCTTCTCTACTTACTTTTACCAAAAAAGGACTTTATTCGCCAGGATCGGGGACTTCTCGAAGTTTAAGTAGACTTTTATGTAGCCTCACCTGGTACAGGTAAGAGAAGTTAATAGTGATAGTGAACACTTCCTATGCACCTGCCCAACCGGTTTATAACCATAACGTTAGACTTAAAGGACCCGCAAAGAACTGAAGCCAGATATAATGATTTCAATGTGTTTGGTAAATGACATGTAGCCTATAAATTTTATTAAAGAATTTTGTGAACAAATTAGCTTGTCACAATTATAGACCATTATTTTAGCCATAGAGAGATCAAAGTTCCAGTGAGCATTTTTGATGCAGGCAACAATGGGACACAGCAAGGAAAAATGACGTTTGACATGATTAGGACCCCTAGCGCGCTCTGGTGTACACAGAAGCGCGCTCTGGTGAATTCAGCTGCGCGCTTTTCGTGCCTGGTTGCGTTCGTAACTTTACAGTCTATGCGTGAAACCAAACGAGTCTGTCGTTTTTTGATGAGTGACATTTCTTATTTATTTCAGACAGTGTTGATTTAATATAGGTATACTTATATAAAATTGTATTATTAGGAAAAATCGTGTGTTAAACTATCCTCGCTGTCTGATAAAAAGTCCATTTGGCACTGGCAGGGGGGAAAAGGGTCGACATCTTTATGTAGGCTACACGGAATTATGTTATTATAATATATATATATATATATATATATATATATATATATATATGTGTGTGTGTGTGTGTGTGTGTGTGTGTGTATTTTAAACAACCTTTTAGTAAAGTTCTTCTTTCATAAGGTTTTATTATCCTTTAACAAAGACGTTAACAGCTCTTTTGATCAGAGGTATTCCTCCTTATATGGAATCATCTGATATAAGCACAATGTAGGCTATGCGTGGTAAATAGTCTAAAACAAATGTTTTTAGAAACACGTCTCATCTTCCACTATTGTTGTTGCAATGTATTGGCTAAACAGGGCTCTAAAGCCTGGTTTCCTTTGCCAAATATTTTCTTTTGCATAAAATGGTGTTTGGAGAACTTACAGATCATATTGTCCTAAAGAACTTACCACTGAAATTCTCATATAGAGCCATTCTTGCCGTTTGCCTTCATGTAAGTTATAAGGCATCATTTGTCACATTAAATTTAAACCCACAAAAAGACAAATTATAAATACTTTATTAATAGCCTACTATAAAATGATGCTTGGTACTATGGAATTCTTATAACCTAAAGCTCAACATGACTTAGAAGTGTAAATAAACTAAACAATATTGACATGTGGATCTATGCCAAAAAATTTACATAAGTTTCTCATTATAAAAATACATCATAAGTTAGTGGCCAAAAGAGATGTACAGCTTATAGGAAAATTGACGTCTTCACTCTTCATTCAAATATTGTTAAATGTGTTAAAGATTTTGTAAGCTGCTTATTGTGCTTGGAGTCAATTATTTTATTTGTGATAATGCAATGAAACATGCCAATTTGTGCGGACAGTTTTTGTCAAGGCTGTCATAGGTAAGTTCTTTTAATAATCAAACAAAGAGTATTATGTTGACATAATTGTTTATGTTATATAAATACATTATTCAATATCCTTTAATCCTCTTATCCTCATTTAATTGCAACTTGTATGACCATGTGCCACTTCAAATCTTTATCTTATTATGTGCATTTAACACTTGACGTTTTGCATATTTTTCATTCACTTTTTTAATTCCAGTTCAAAATACCTAAATACAGGACTGTAAAACGGAGTTGTTTTTGTACTAATAATGTAGTGCAATATTTAAAGCATTTTAAGTTATTTTCAAATACTAACTTTAATATCCTTTATGTTGCATTCATATAACTAAGTTACTTATTATTTACTTAAGTACACTGTAAAATATATTGTTGGTTTAACTTAAAAAAGTAAGTAACCTGGTTGCCTTGAAGTAACCTGGTTGGAATGTTTTAATCATCAGAAACTCAAAATGATATGTTATCTGAACTAAATAAATTATTTAAGTTGATTTGACAAAATAACAAATGTTGTGATTACTAATCCTGAAAAGATTTTTTTTACAGTGATTTAAAATATATATATCAGCCCATTCTCACCCCCAAGGCGTCACCTAACTGACGCCTTGGGAAGCATTTGGACATGCTTCAATATCTGACGCTTTAGGCGCCCTTTAGCGTCAGTTAGATGACGCCCTAGGATCGCGTGTAGGCTACCCTACCCCCACCCCATACCTAAACCTAACCGCGTCCTCTAACTGACGCTTTCCTTTAGCGTCAGTTAGATGACGCCGTAGGATCGCGTCATGTAAGTGACGCTAAAGGGCGCCTAAAACGTCAAATATTGAAGCATGGTCAAAGGTGACGCCTTGGGGTGAGAATGCGTTGTATATATATATTAAAAAAAACAGACTGTATTTTCTTGCTATATCCTCCTCACATCTTCACTGGTGGGCTCTTGGCAGAAGAGGCTTGTCAGGTGGCCTGCTGATCTGGAATGATCAAACAATCTAATGTACACACATATAGACACAGACAGTCAGTCAGAATTTTAAGACTCTTTTCCTGAGGTCACCCAAAAGTTATATCTTAAAAATCTCAGTGGCAGAACATTCCTCTCCCTGCCCCTACTTGGAAGCTGAGAGAAAGACGTGCAGCTCCAATCTGAGCTTTTTTCAAACCACTCCATTGGTTGTCAGTCATCCACACCCAATTATGTAAGAAATGTATCGTGCGTCTCATCCTCGCTGCGTAGCAGACTGCATTCTGGCATTTAACAAACACCTGGCTTCAACGTAAACAGACATGCTAGACATGCTAGACTTTGCTCCTCATCAAAACACACTGTTTGGCACAGATTTTTAAAAGTCTTGGTCAATCTCTTGGTGGCAACACCTTCTGGAGAAATCCTAAACTAGAGGATTAAAGACTGCAGTGTGGAAAATCGGATTGATTTTGACTCTCAAAATGACCATGACCATATATGATTTTTTTTTTGTCATCTTGTTGATTTGCTCTGTAGGCTTTGATCCCATTATGTGATGCTGTAGAGGGTCTAATAATATGGAAATCATCTGGGGTAGACATTTTGTTTTTTAATCTTGTAAAGTTATTTGTAACCTACTTTTCAAAATATTGGGGTCAGATCGGTTTTTTAAAGAAAACTTTTTTAAAGAAATTAAAGGATGCATTACATTGCTCAAAAGTGCCATGAGCAATGTTTTCACCAAAGGAAATGACCACGTTTGCACTAAAATATTGAGCACGACGATTTTCAACATTGATAATAATAAGAAACGTTTCTTCAGCATTGAATCATTTCTGGTGGGTCAGGACACTGAAGACTCAAAAAAAAAATACTTGTTAAACTAATTTAATAAAATTATGGACAGTGGTTCCACATAATCAAATTATTTTGAATCTATGTAAGCTCCTGTTGACAGCACAACTGAATGAGAGAGAATCTGTGAAATAGTAATGTCAAACAAATCAATGGAATTGCTCCCCTGTAACTTAAATCGGTTAAGTTTAGTGAACATGCGCTTTATTTTATTTATTTTTTAAAACTGTACTGATAAATAAATGTGTGTAGAATTTCTAGACTATGGCTAGCTAATAATAAAAATATATGTTACTTATATGTGTTATATGTTACTTGTTAAAAAGAACAGTGCCACAAAACCATTTTAAAATGCTGAGAATTCAGCTTTACCTTAACTGGAATTAATTATTTTAAAATATATTTAAATAAATTTAAAATTATTCAAAATTCTAATAATATTTCACAATATTACTGTTTTTTTACTGTATTTTTTTATCAAAAAGCATTGTGAGCTAAGTTGATTGTATACAGAGACCAATGGTTATATGATCTACGGCTTACAATGTTTTTGGAAAACGCAGCTCAGGTGGTTTTATCAGCAACATTTTTAAAAGTGTCAAAGGGATAATAAAACGGGCCATCTCTCTCTCTCTCTCTTTTTGATGCCAAATTTCTCTTCACTCATATGCTATATTCCCTCTTATACAGTATGACAATATGTTGGGGGGGGGGGGGGGGTAAATGTAAAGTTCAATACATTTTGAACTTTATCGATCAGACTTATATTACAGATTATTATATTACACAGAGAGACAGAAATCTGAATTCTTTGTTATTATAAGGATTATATTCTTTTATAACTCAGAGGAAGAGACATAAGGATGGAAAACAGTTTAATGGAACCTTTCGTACAGATAGTCCAGTGATTTTTTTAAGGTTTTTCATGTTTGTTAATGGCATGTGTTGGTTATGAAGTCAGGGATGGACAAATATCTTTTAGAGCCTAATCGCATATGCATCTTTCAGCCTTTATGCTATAATCTTGAGGCGCTTTCATTGGCGGATACATTGTTACTTTGAACATTTTCAGATCATGTGCTCAGCAAAGTCTAATCAGCTTATGGAGTTCTTTGAATGCTTCATGTCACCTTTATGGGAACCTTTTCCAGCATATTACCAACTGGAGTGGGAAAAGGGAAGAAGCATTAAGCCTAGAATGACATTTTGTGGAACACCTATCTAGACAATTGAAATTAAACCCCTCAGTAATGTTTTGGACTTCTGTTAGAGACGTTTTAAAGAGAATGTCCCGGCTTCAACTTGTGACAAAGCACAAAATGTCTTTAGTTTATTTGTCTTTATTCTATATATTAGATATCAAAAATATATTCAAATGAATATACTGTGTTGCATACATGTAAATATACTGTATATCTGAAATAAGATTTGTCGTAATATGCAGTGTTGCAGGATGAATTTCAGTTAGATGGACCTTCAAATAGAATTTTAGATTATATCAATGACTTTTCTATTAAAGCAAATGCAAATTGCAGTTCTGTTGTTGCTCAGTTGCTTGTGACACAATCGTTGCATGCGGTTAAGGCTGACGTGGAGGGATGAGTCACCAGATGTCGTACAGTTCATTTATAATCCTCATCAGGTCATATTTGGCCAGTTTTGTTCCTGATCTTTGGTTTTAAATCACTGCTGTGTGCACATTCACGTCACTTTACATTATCACCAGTGGCTATGTGGAACATATGGACAAAATCCAACTGTATAACCTCTATGCACTGAAATTTTCAACAATAATATTAAATTCAAGAAATGTCCAAATCTTTATCATCATCTCTTGATGGTCAGTCACAATGGTAAATGTATATTTGCTGCTTAGTACTCTTACTCTTACTTGGCTGCTGCCCAGAATTATAGTCAGACCAGCTAAACCACAGTGTTGGCATCAGGTAACTAGTGGGAGTTCCTAAGCAAGACAGAAGAAAGATACACACGCATTACCTCAGCAGACTGATAAAATTGCATGCAATGTGGCTGATTAACCACAGAAATTGTATGCTAAACCAGTCTTGAATGCTAGATGGTTACATACATGTATAGGGCTTTTGGCAAAACGAGAATTCCCATTTGCAATTTTTTCATCCATTAATTTGATTGTTCTTTCTTAAGCTTGAGCACAAGTGTCACTAGCGTGTCTGAACAAATCAAGAACTATAGTATAACTCTGTAATAGTAAACCAGAAATAATATGGGGTTTTATCGTGGTTCAATTAAATCATAAGTTGGATGGGCTGCTGCTCAATACCAAACTTCACTCTCTCTCTCTCACACACACACTATAAATATATACTATATGCAGACTTATATGTTCACATATACCAGTCAAATGGCAATGTACAGAGATGTATAAAGTACTAGAAACCTGGACTTGAGTAAAAGTACAAGTGCTCTATCAAAAAAGTGACTTAAGTAGAAGTTGAAGTGCTCTTTAAGCACACTTAAGTAGAAGTACTAGAGTATTCAACATTTTTTGTACTTAAGTAGGCCTATTGCAAGTAGTTTGTTTTAAAATTCACTACTTAAGTACTAAAAGTAAGTACAAGTATTGTGTCATGTAATTATTAAAGAAATCAGTCAAAAGTTTGAACTAGCAATCAAATAAGGCGCTTTGGCGGGATACAAATTTGCTTTGGCAGCCGCCAAAAAAATGTCATTGCGGGACAACCCCTGCATTAGTTGTCAATGTGTGTGTCAATCAATACCATTACCCTATACAACTGGCGTGTGATTTAGGCAGCATGAAAGCCAACTTGCAACAAATGATTCGTAAATTTTTTATAATTGTAACGAGTAACTAGCAGAACATTAAAAAAATATCGAAGTAAAAGTATTAAATTCATCGAAAGTAAAAGTAGAAGTATGAGAAAAAAACAATACTCTAGTAGAGATACTAAACATTACTAAACATCTCTGTACACACACGCACTATATATATATATATATATATATATATAATTGATACTAATTGATAAGTATGTAAATGCAATGAAATGCCAAATGCGTATATATATATATATATATATATATATATATATATATATATAAATGTGTGTGTGTGATACAGTATATATAGGCATAGTTGATGTGAACATACAAAGTTAAATTGGACTGTAAATAGCTGTAATGACTGAAATCATGCATTTCCTCTGCTTTACAGAAAGGAATAGAATGAGCTGATTAACACACACACAAAAAAAAATCACCCATTTTTTTACCTTTTGAAATGTTTTTTTCCCTGAATAGAATGCCAATGCAAACATTATTTCAGAAGGCTGTCGCTTAAATGTGCTGTTATGACATCAGCTAAGAGCACTGGTACTGTTTTCCCACACCCTTATGGGTCTCATACCTCTCAAAGATGGATTTATCGGCAAAACGGAGTGGGAAACTATGACAAGCAGCAATAGCATATTATAATGTGGGATAAATTATTGGGCATTTAATTGGAATAAATAACTTCAAATTCATCCGTCAACACTCTTTAAACATTATATAACAAATATGTTTATTTAAAGATCATATGTTATATATATACTGTATATATTTACAATATTTACAAACTGAACTCTAACTTAGATGTTTATACATTTGACAATAGCAATATTTAACAGTTTGAATGTATATAAATACATAATATAAGACATTCAATATTAGCAAAATGCAATTCATTTCTTTCACAGAATAAACTGCAACCAGTAGCATTAATCACTGCCAAGACATGTCTTGTAAAGACAAAAAAGGCAAGAAAATATCATGCAAATCATAATTCAATCAAAGGATTTAGCTCTGGCTTTGAGGAATGTGGCTTAGAGGTTGTCAGATATATTGGACCAAAGGCTTCTTTCAGCCAGTAACAACCTTTGAACATCTGCAAAACAATATCTAAATCATTCTTCAACCAAAAACTACCTGTGAAGGCATATTCAGCTTATAATAAAGGTGACAGCCAGAGTTTGTGGTTTGGCAGCAGGACATATTTTGTTGTTTTTCCCATTAAACATTGTCTTCTTCATTTTCACCATGACCATTTCCTTTAAACTTGGTTCTAACATCAGTCTGTATGTGATAAGAAAAAGGTCCAAAGAGGAGTTCCATTTCATTGCAAAAATAGCTATGTTTATGTGATAAATATGATTGTTCTGAATTAATTTAATTTCCCTGTTTTTTTCTCCAAGGCACTATTCTTGGTTCTCTTTACTTCTTCAGGTCTGTAGATATCTGTAAAATAAAACATTGATCGGCATTAACAAATAATTACAAGTACAGTACTAGAAATTAGAGCTGGACCACTGCATGCAATAAATAAAAAAATACAATATATATATTCAATATAAGCTATAATTCGTTTTTAAAAGGCAGAGGATGAAAAACAATCTAAAATAAACCTGACTAGTGTGGATACAAAGACACACATAAGAGCAAATTGTGCAACACAGATGGTGAAAGGACTGCAGGTTTAATGTTACACTGAGAACTAAAGCAGTGCCTTTAAGAAAAGAAAGGCCATTGTCCATAAGTGTGGTTCTTCACTTCAAATAGTTAACATGCCATTTACAGTCAATTGAGAACATAATCCCTGATTATATTCATGTACTTTTTTTGACAAATGTACTGGTGCCACCGTTTAACCCGCTTACACTTTTCTTATGTTTTTTGTTCAATTAATGGAGCAGTACTGTATTTTTTTTAGGTTAAACAGCTAAACAAAAATTTCACCCAAATATAGGGGAAACCACAAACTACCTCAAAATAGGAGAGAAGATACAGTAGGCTATCCCAATATGCCAATTAAGTATACTTTACCAGTATACTTAAGCTTGATTAAATTCTATTATATGTACCATGTGTGTGTAATGTTTGATGCTATTTGTCGTCCCTAAGTATATTTCAACTTTGAATGACCTATTTTAAGTATTGCTCAAATTATCTTTAGTTTGTTCTCTTTTAAAACAGCCTCTTTTTTAAATAACAAATTTAAAGGGATACTCCACTTTTTCTGGAAATAGTTCATTTTACCACTCCCCCAGAGTTAACAGTTGAGTTTTACCGTTTTCAAATCCATTCAGCCGATTTTCTGATATTTAGAAGAATATCAGTAACCAGACAGTTTCTGGTCTCATTGACTTCCATAGTAGGAAAAAATATACTATGGAAGTCAATGAGGCCAGAAACTGTCTGGTTACTGATATTCTACTGAATATTAAAAATATTGCTGAATACATTCGAAAATGGTAAAGCCCAACTTTTTAACTCTGGGGGAGTGGTAACATGAGCCTATTTCCAAAAAAAGTGGAGTATCCCTTTAAATTTGTTATTAAAAAAGAGGCTGTTTCAAAAAAGTACAAACTAAAGATAATTTGAGCAATACTTAAAATAGATGCTACACAGGTACTTACATGAGCAAATTATTCACTATAGCTAAGAAGTTAGTTCATTCATTTTGAATTGATACAATCTACTTATATCTATGTCTATTTCTATCTCTGCACTTAAAACAGCCTTTTAACTGAAATATAAAAACCCCGTCATTCCAAACAGGTGAAGTAAAAGCTATTCTGGGTGGGAGCTCCGTAATATTAGAAAGGTCATAAAACAGTTAGGTGTAATATTTCTCCTGTAGAATTATGTTTAAGTATACTTCTGTGCGTAGATTACACATTGTGCGTGTGTAACCAGAAACTGTCTTTTTTTCAGAATGTGGTCACGAGAATGTTGGGATGATTGTGTCCTTGAAGATAACGACTAGACATTTGATCACTCAATGTGTGTCCTGGGTAAATATTTTCATAACAAACATTTTAGCACTAATTGCGGAAACAAGTTTACCATAACATACATTATGTTAACTATTATGTTAACTATTCACCTGCGGCATTTATCCCTCTGAGCACCGCTGACTCATTGCTAGTCTTGTAAGAAGCCGGGCACATCTTTTATAATCTAGAAAAAGACAAGACAGACATTTAATTTGACATTGAAACTATCTTGAAGACCAGTCCCATATAAAAACAATATGCATGCTTAATCATTCACCTGAATAAATGGCAAAACAGTTATAATGTAAATGTATTTGATGAAATGCCACTTACAGGCTGGTATTGTGCAGTCCCTGGTATTATGATAGAGTTTATAAAAGTGTTTACTGCATTTGGGGCTAAAATAAAGCGGCCCTGCAAAAATACAGAAAGACAGATTTTAAATTGCTGTTAATTCACAAAGATCATGAGGAAAGTGCACAGAGATACTGACATTTGCTCACCTGTTAAATGTTTTAAAAATCTCTCCTTCTGTCGAAGATCTCTCGGAAAGATCTCTGTTAAAAGAGGAGGCGTTACTCAGGTCAGAAATTGCTGTACAGAAAAGTGATTATTTATATTTATTGGCCACAGAATATGAAATGCCACATAACAGATCAAGTCAAGTATGGACTGCAATGCTTTCATTTCCCAAACACAGTCAGTCAGTGAATGTGATGATGCTTACCAAGAATGCGTTCATGCTGATATGACTTTGTAACTTTGTTCACGTCTTTTGTTTCCACCGAATGCTCGATGGTCTCAGGGGGTAGCTGTGTGTTTCCCTCGCTGTGATGCTCCCGTGCCTGTCTCACTCTGTTCACAAGGAGGTCCAGCAGACTTGTGTCATCCCTGTCTCTCGGTTTGCAGTAGCCGGTGGTGAGGATCAGGAAAAGGAGCCCTATGAAGACAGGTGTGCGCACTGCACTCATGCTGAAAGGTGGGCAAAGAGAGCCCCTCTGCCCTGCGTCCAGTCTTACAGACCTGCAAACACACCATCATCATTTCAGTTCTCTGGCACCCACTTGATTTACTGATTCATGTTAAATTGCTTTAAACATGCATGGATAGTTGACACATAATTTGATCATGAACATTTTAGGTTTAAAATTATAAGAATGCATACGTCTTTTAATATTACACTATTTTAAACACTTAAACAAATGTATCCCAAAAACTTTAAATAAATATGAGATCATACAACTGCAAGCATAATGATAAAATAATGACCAAAAAGCAGTTTAAAAAAGTTTTAGATGGAGTATAGCAGGAAACGTCAACATCTCAGTGGAATGTACATGTCAACTACCCTTATTTTCCCAATAATTTGATAATATCCAGCTAAAAGAAGTACACAATCTCTTCACTTATTCTGAAATTGTAACATGTAATAAATAAAGTTCTAGATTCACTTAAAAACAAGTTAGTGGAGCTTCGGTCACTGCTCAATATATCTAAACAACCATAGCATCACAGATTCACACAAGAATCCCAAGTTTTCTTCACTTTTACGCACGAACGCTCTTGCGCAAAGGCGCTTCGCGAACACGTGTTTGTTTGGTAAAGTAACAAATTACCTGATTTTCTTCAATGCAGATTTAGTTTACACTTGTTCGACGGCCTTCCCGTGGGTTTAATAATGTTAACGCAAAGCACATCAAATAGACTCCGCTGGCGTCGCCTCTCCAAAGGTACTTCCACAGGCTCTAGCGCACCATGACACAAGGAGAGCCAGTCTCTTTTATATGTTTAAAGACAGCCGTGGTCATCTGTTGATCGTGTTGACTCGAAGTGGGTGGAAATTGACGAAAGTCCGCCGCTTTTAATTTATTTATTTTCCCCCTCCGGTGCGTAAAGTTGCTTCAGATCATCCGGCATGGGTTCCTCACTTTTTATTGTCAGTTGCAGACGTAAGGAGCTGTCCCATGTGGATTACCCCGGCATGTCTTTAATTAGAAACGCGTTAAGAGCACTCCTTAAAAAATGCATTTTAATTTTGTTGGATCACCGTCTCGTAACGCGCATCTTCCGGTGGTCCAATTTGGCACGAGTAGAAAGATTCTCACCAGAAGTGCTTTATCTGTCCTAATGCCTCGTTGTATTAAATGACACTAAGTGCGCGCGGTGCTTCTTGGCTCCTTTATAATTTAAAGTTTCCCCGACGAGGATGCTGCGGTTTTGTATTTCAGCGCAAATTATCATCAGAAACCATCATGGTACGAGCTTGAGTGGGAAGGCAGAATCTCCTGGAGACTATCCACAGCAGCGTCTATGAGAAGACTGAGGCCTTCTCCAATATTGGTTTCGTTCTCAATCTCGACATTTTACCACTCCCTTTGAGTAGGCTATAGAAAAAAAAAATAACAACTCATATTTCATTCCCCTCCTCTTTGGCTCTCAAACGCTTCAAATACGAGTTGCACACCATTCTGCCGTGCGCTTCCATGTCCATAGCTGATGGTAATCAGGATTAGGCTACATACCTTGGGAATTATTATTAATCATGTAGCATGGATTAATCTGGTTTAACGTGATGCAGAGTTGAGGCACAGCTCAACAGTGCCACACAGTGAATGCCTTCATTTAAATGATAAGTGTTATGAAATGAGCACAAGTTGAGATAGTTCACTCAGCAAACTGAAAATTCTTTTATCATCTACTCATCCTCATGTCGTTCCACACCTGTATGACTTTCTTTCTTCTGTGGAAGAAGAAAAATTATGTGTGTGTGTGTGCGTCTGTCTGTTTTGACAAAAACATGAAGCATAAAAAGGAAAAAGATAAGGTAAATGATGACAGAATTATTATTATTATCATTTTAACATTTCTGTGTAAACTAACTTGATCACGAAGCAGGTGAAATATGTGACCCTGGATCACATGGGTATATTTCTGGCAATAGCCAACAATACATTCTATGGGTCAAAATGGGTCAATTTTTTCTTTTTTAAATGCCAAAAATCATTAGGATATTCAGCAAAGGTCATGTTCCATGAATATATTTTGTACATTTACTAATATATAATATATAAAACATTTATTTTTGTATGCAGCACAATAGCGAACATAAATTGACAACTTTAAAGGTGATTTTCTCAATGTTTCGATTTTTCTTTTTTCACCATCAGATTCCAGATTTTCAAAAAGTTGAATCTCGGGCAAATTGTCCGGTCCTAACAAACCATACATCAATAGAAATCTTATTTATTCAGCTTTCAAATCCAAAATTGAGCCATGTGACTGTGGTCACTCCCTTGTCCAGAAAACTCACTAAACTTGAAAATTTTACTTTACTTAATTCTTGACAAATTGCTTATGATGTTCCTAATTTATAAGTCAACTGGGATAACAAGTAAATGGGAAATGCTTTCATAAATGTGAGGTAAATTCAAAGTTGTTCCAAAGTGACAGCATGCAGTTATGAGTTAACTGCACCCAAAACAGTAGAAATTGCAGAAATTATTGTGACAAGTCAAATTAATGAAAACAAAAATATATAAAGTTATATATTAAAGGACAACTCCGGCGCAAAATGAACCTTTGGTCTAATTACACGTTGCTACCTAGTCAACCGTTATCTGAGATTTGTTTTCATGATTGCCGAATGTAAATAGTTTTATCTCTAAAAACAGTTTAGCCAATAATGCTAGTATATAGGGCATAGAGTAATGACAAATAAAAATCGCTTGTTATTACCATTAACAAGGCTCAAAATAGCCCCACACCAACAGGACAGCATAACAAGGGTCCCTACATTCAAACCGAAGCATTGAGAACTTTGTCAGTGTCCATACAGTTTAATAAGAAGATGTTTTATACACACAGTAAAAAAAATTAAAAATAAATAAATAAATAAAAAATACAAAATAATAATAATAATAATAATAATAAAAACTTCAGTCTCTACCAGTCGATCTACGAGCGCCGATCCAAGTGCGCTGAACTGTGCAGAATCTCATATGGTCCGTTGTTTCCAGAAGAAACACAAACACAAACCGTTTACTTGTCTTCAATATGTACACGTAGCCTACTGTTCGCGCTCACCTTACCTTTATTCACATCTCACCAGCGCACTTGGATCGGCGTTCGTAGATCGACTGATAGAGACTATTTTTCCAAGATGGCTTCTTGTATTCGCGAAATTTACTGTGAGTATAAAATATCTGCTTATTAAACTGTATGGACACTGACAAAGTTCTCAATGCTTCGGTTTGAATGTAGGAACCCTTGTTATGCTGTCGTGTTAGTGTGGGGCTAATTTGAGCCTTTCTAGTGGTAATAACAAGCGATTTTTATTTGTCATTACTCTTTGCCCTATTTACTAGCATTATACTAGCGTTATAGGCTAAACTGTTTTTAGAGATAAAACTATTTACATTCGGCAATCATGAAAACAAATCTCAGATAACGGTTGACTAGGTAACAATGTGTAATTGGACTAAAGGTTCATTTTGCGCCTGAGTTGTCCTTTAATGTTAGCCCCTGAATATATATAAAATAATGATGAAAACAATAGAGTTTTCTTTTTTTTTACTTTATAGAGTAGCGGAGTAGTTACTCACTTTCACCTCCGTGGCCATCACACAGTTGTTCCTGTCTTTGTACCATATAAATAATGTATTGTTTCCTTTTTTAATGGCCTGTTCCATTTCCTTTATCACCCATAGACCCTCTCTCTTTCTTTCAGTCCTGTAGTCTTTATTTTTCTGCCCCACCTTCTCTTTTCCCCATCCTCTTCTCTCTTCATACTGTACTTGTGAATGAAATGTTCCTGCATCCCTTATTTTATCACCTGTGGTTAAAACGTTCTTCAAAGCTGCCCCTAGTTATCTAAATGACTTAATACATCTGATATGATACACCACATGAGCGGGTGCAACCAAGATAACAACTCAAGTAGTGGCAAGTTGTTGCCCACGGTTTCCACACGTATAGTATTCTGTGTTGTTCAGTGCAGTAACACTGCAGAGACCTTGAAACAACAAAATTGGACTCAAATACCTGATCTGCAAATATTTTCTTTGGTTTAAAGGTGAATTGTAATAGTGTTTAGCTATTTGTGTGTTTTTTTTTGTTTAATTTTACCTAGAGTATAGAGGATAAACACTCCAGCCACAGTCAAGTTTTAAAGTTTTTTCCACCAAGGAAAAAATATAACAGGTCATTTTTGTGGGAATGGCCTACGGTAGTTTGGACAATGGGAATCTGACATTGGGGGTGTGTCATGACAAGTACCGCGAGTTATGCAATCAGATTACTTTTTTCGAGTAACTAGTAGCCTAACAAAACATCTGAGTTACTTTGTTTACCCATGTATTGATTGACACATCTCTTGTCCCCATGTTGAGGTGTGTAAACATGATGGTTGAACTTCTGGACTACATGTAAATGCTAGCATGTATTATTCGGTATTCTTCAAAATGAATAAAAACAGTGTAATTTTGCACTGTTTTTGCAAACCTAATTAAACATGTTCAATTATTCAAATATTTAGCCATTTATTCTCACTTTATTAAGCAATAATGTTATTGCTGCTGACCTTCAATGATCTTATTCAACCATAGTAATAAGCAAAAATCACTTTCGATAAGTATCACATTTCTGTTTCAGTTTTAAACTACTCATTCCAGCATAGTCTTACTAATTACATTATCTTTTCATGGCAGAAGAACCATAAAGAGTAGTATGGCAGTATGCAGTATGTGGTTCCATTGGGTGCTTCTTATTTCTAATTTGTGCATCCTCATTTCCTTTCCTTGCTTGCTTTCCTCCCATCTTAGCTCCAGTAATGTAACCCAATACTTTCCATAAAAAGTAACACAATTAGTTACTTTTAGTGAGTAACTCAATATTGCAATGCATTACTTTTAAAAGTAACTTTCCCCAACACTGCATATTACAGACTATTTAAAATATTTTCAAGCTCAGTTAATACAATTCTAAATCTCAATGCAATAATATCAATATATTGTTTGGCCAGCAAATACTTATTTAAAGCAAATATGGCAACTAAGAACACAGTTTGATATTTAGTTTGATTTTATTGGAGCAATTCGCAAAATGTCTTGAACACGAGAGAGAACATAATAAATGGTATATACAAGGGTCAGAAATATATAAACTCTTTAAACTCACAAAAAAGTTTAAAGAAATGTGATTTAAGAACTATAACAGCTATCCGTATGTGCTTAAACATATTTGCATTTTCATTAAATCAATGCAGGCCTACTTTGCTCGACACAACACAAACAGCAACACTAAGCCTCTCACATAGCTTTATCTCCTCCCTGCCTCTCTTCAGAACAATCTGGCATCAGACTCTTTCTTAACAGTCCGTCAATATATTCTGCTCTCACTCAAACTAACTGCAGTGATCCTCTACATCTACTATCACATAATAAGCACTCCAGATTGGTCATAATTCAGTGCTTGGTTTGACAGCAGTCATGTCGACCTGTATCCAAATATGCACTGCACAGTCCAGCCTACACAATCAGCCACTGATCCTAAAATCCACTGATCTTCTTTCAGTCGTTAACTCATTAATCTTGGCTCATGCCAGTTCCCTGTCCACAGCCTTAATCCCTACTGACCTCTTTGCCATATCTGATATCATTGACAACTTTGACAGCAGTTTTGATATGTTTGCTTGATTAGTTACGTCTGTTCTTTGTCACGTCAGGAACATATGTTGGTATTGACTGAAAGCCAAAGCAGCTGTCCATACACGGCCATACCTGATGATTCCAGTTTTTCCAGGCGTTCCGAAACTTGTCGGGAGTTTTTTTTTTTTTTTTTTTTTTTTACAGTGTAAAACTGCTGAGTCAGTCAGTGAACTTGGTTAGATAACTGCTGTATTTCTAGAGCCATGCTATACAGTAGGCCTACTTATAGAGGCTGTCACTAATAACTGGTCTACTCAGGTCTGTATTGATTAAAGGTGAAGTGAGTCATTTTTAGTAGCCTACTAAAGTGAATTGTTGGTACTAAAGTGAACATGTCTTATATTGGTCAGACAAATAAACCCCCATTCAAATTTGGGGTCCGTGTGATTTTTTTTATGTTTTTGAAAGGAGCCTCTTTTGCTCACACAAGGTTGTATTTATTTAATCAAAAATACAGTGGAAACAGTTATAGTGACAAAATTATTACAATTTAAAATAACAGTTTTATATTTTAATATGACATTTTCAGCTACATTATGTATCTTTGCTGATTCACGCTGAGTTTGTGCTCAAGAAATATTTCAAGTTGTTGAATATTGTTTTCCTGCTTAATATTTTATAATTGTTTTTTTTTTCATGACTCTTTGATAAACAAGTTCAAAAGAACATTTATTTGAAATATAAATCTTTTGTAACATTATAAATATCTTTACTGTCACTTTTGATAAATTTAATGCATATATACTGAATATACTGTAAATACATTTTTTTTCAACCCTAATGGCCATCAATGGATAAGGATGTGTTGGTGTAGTTACATCATCTACCAAC